AGGACTCGGACGCTTTCAACGGATAAGGCACAAGGCATTGTAGATATAATGTATAAATGTTAATCATTGTAGATATAATGTATAAGTATGTAGATATAATGTATAAATATAATGTATAAATACGCTGTAGATATGATACACGGATGTACACACTGTTAGTTTTTTGTATTTCCTATTTTACTTTTATAAATTTCTGAAATGTCTTTGAATCTTCTATTATCATTATCATAAACGAAATGATTATTGAATATGTTTTTATTTGTAAATTGTATGTATTTTTTAGTTTTTTAATCGGTTTTAAAGTTTCTAAAGTTTAATTACTTCTAACGTTACTTAATGAAACATGTTCTGTTTTATAGGTTTATTAAAACTGTATCATCACAGGATGTTAGTTTTATTGTAGCTAAAGTTGACCTTAATTAGTATTTTTGTAATTGGTTAATCTACCAATTGATAATTGATGATGCAGATGCAGAGGCGATTTTACAAATAAAATGAGGGGGGGGGGAGGGGAGGTTGAGACTTTAAAAAGTACCGTCTAGCGTCTTAAGTCAAAGTTGCCGGACTAAATCCGTATAAAAACCCTCCGTAACATCGCCGTAACACCTACCCACCGTAAAATCGCCTCTGTGCAGGCGTAGTTAGTATATTTTTTGTAAATAAAACTTTTTTTCAAATATTTTGTTATGTTATTATGCATAAATAAATTGATTTGCAGTTTATAAATGTGATGCATTTTTCCCTTTATTTAATTCGATTAATTTTTCTAGAATAATTAGATGACGTGTTTGTTCTATATAGTCATACAATTGAAAACTATTGAAAACTTTTATGTTTTGTTAAATTGTTAATAAATACGTAAAAAAAAAATATCTTTTTTTTTTTACAAAGCTATTAGGCATTTTTTTTAAAACCATTATCCGAAATGATTTGTATTTTATCTTTTGTATTTTATCTATGTGAACGAAAGCCAATGCAAATAACCTGTTAACTTCAAGTTATTTAAATCATATCAAAATTTTACAGATTTACTTTTACTTGAAAATTTCAGCAATATCTTTTTAATTTTGATTTATACCATTTATATGCTATAAATGTTTTATAAAGTTTATAAGTCTTTGGTTTATAAACAGTTTTAAAAGATGATAATTTATCATCTTTTAAAACTATGATTTATCATTAATAAAGCATGCTAAAGTGGTTGAAGTGATTCGTGTGGCTTAAAATCCTTTTGCTAAAAAAATTTTTTTTCTAATTTTCTAGAATAAAAAACAAAACATTTAAAAAATACTATGGATATTATATGCATAACATATATAAAAACATTATATACTGTAACAAACGAAAGGGAGAGAGTTTTTTAAAAAGCTTTTTAAAATTTCTAAAAACATGAAAACACCATTAGAAAATTTTTGCACATACGATAGAGATAATTATAAGAATATAAAGTTTATGTGCTTATAATTAAGTAACTATTGTTTATGATAAACAACTTACGTTGTGAATGTGCTTAAGTAATTAGCTTGCGCGTTTATATGCCATTAAATATGGCATATAAAATATGCCATTAAAGTTGGCATATTTTATATGCCAACTTTAACTTTCTTCAAAGTTAACTGAGCAAGAGACCTAATAAGCTGCAGATGGTCTGAAAAAAAATGTTATATGAAAATGTATGAAGGCCTCAACGGAAGAGCGATCAGAGTCACACTTTTGCTGTTTTGAGAAAATCAATTTTCAAGATTTAAAACACCATCATTTTGTTCAACGAATTAAAATTACCCCAAAATCATTTTATTTTATAAAACATTTATTTCTCAATATAGCAGTTCAAAGTTTTATGTGAAAATCGGTTGAAAACTATGTGATATCGGTTTATATGTTTGATATTGATATTGTAAGAAGAGAACTGCTGTTTGGACTTTGATCGTTTTTTCCGTTGCATCACACCAATACATACCAAAATATTCCACAGGTTAGTTCCTAGAGACTTATTCTCATGACAGGCTTTTTTAATTGATTACCAAACACATAACACATACCAAAGACAACACATAACATATACCAAAGACAACAGAATCACATAACACATACCAAAGACTACAGAATCGAAACGCACTAAAATAATGCTTAACAATAATAGTATTATTACATGAGTGTCATCTTTATTGCAGGTATTAAATCAAAAAATAAAAGAAGGGAAAAGGAAAATAATAAAAACTAATATTTAGTTGCAATAACTCAATAATTATAGACTGATTAATTTAATCATCAGAATAATATGACGTGGCTGTTTAAAAACCAACTTCAAAATCAGAGGGTCTAACAACTGGAAGATTGTTGTAGAATTCTTGGTTTACAGGATTGCATACACACTAAAAAAAAAAGGTAGAAATTTCTACCTTTAAGGGTATATCACATATCCTACCCCTTAAGGTAGAAAATAATACCCTACATATTAAGATATTTTAATCTACCTTTATATGAGGTAGAAAAAAACACCTCAAGGTATAAATTTCTACCTTAAGCAAGGTAGACAAATTTACCTTAAAGGGTAGATTTTTCTACCATAAGAGGTATATCAAATATCCTACCCTTTAAAGTAGAATATTATAAAGGTACTTTTTTCTACCCTTGCAAAAGGTTTTCCTTTCCACCCTTAAAAGCATACTTTTTTTTAGGTTTTTGTAAATTTTTGATGGGTGATTGCGATGGCATTTGATATTTTACAACGCAAGGAAAACAACACATTATTGAAAAAAGCTATTTAATTTTGTTAGCAGCGTTTAATTTACAACAATTTGTTCAGCAAACGCTGAATCGGAGGATTAACATTGTACTCGCTAAGCCCACAAACATAGTTCGCAAGAAATGTCAATGTTTTTTGCAGCTGCGGATCAAAAGCTATCTCAAAAACCCAATAACACGCTATTAACACTTTGATTGCTTCATCGATGTTTTGAACGTTACAAACAACTTGACCATCGAGATAAATAGCAATATGCACATCTTCAAAATGCAGAATATTTCCTTGGTTTAAACAAGTTATTGTTAAATTTGGTGTGCTCAGAGTTGATTCCTAAAAAAAAGCTATAATCAATTAGATGGAAAAATTATATTATGAAAATTTACAATCAAATTCAACAACAATCAAATGTTAAAAAAAACATTAAAATAAAAGTTGCCTGTAGGCAACATTTTTTATATATCATAAAAAGTGGATCTTGTAAGCATGTATGAGACCTTATTTATCGTGATCCATCTTTCAATAGCTTCACCAAACACGGCAGGCAAGCACAACATAGATGCTTTAATTTTTTGTGCTAAAAATATTTGGAAAAGTTTGTGTAACAAAAAAACAAATAATCAGTGAATAATTAAATAAAACACAGATGATAACCTTCCATATTGATATTCGAATCATATCCTATAGCCGCTATAATACTATTGAATAAGTCGTTGTTTTTGGCTTTGGTTTTCCCTGACTTGACCATCTCTAGAATTGTAATGGACCTTTCAGCTGTAAAGAACTGGTTTATTTTAGCTAATCCATCGTTTTCAGTTATCATATGTACTTCTTCTAACAATTATAAAACATAATTATTATATAAAAATTTACAAATTAAAATTTATTATTTATTTTCCCTATTGATTTGAATAAAATTTAATGTTTGTTACGGTAAACCTCTGTAGCAATCCTCAAAGCAGGATATTCTTCTAATATTTGTGTCGTGGTTGAATTAAGAATGTGGTGTCGTGGTGGAATTAAGAACTCTCCTTCTGTGCACGAAAGTCTTTGCCATTCTATCTCTTACCTTTGCCAAATCAAGAAAAGTTTTTTTTAATTCATTTGACATAGTTACTTTATGAGCACTACAGCTTAGCAAGTCCTCCATATTGTTTGTTTGCAACTTAAATAAAATTTAAGAAAAATTTTACTTATTAAATGCTTTTTTAAATACTTTTAAATCGCACAAAATATTAATATATACAGAATTAAGATAATCGAGTTGCTAACCTCTGAACGCTTCTGTTTTGGAGTTACCGCATAATCGGTAAAAATTTCTTTTCTTTTCAGCTTTGAACCAAACTTTTTGTGCTCTTGTACTAATGACAAATTATGCATTTTTGCCCTTTCAGACTTAAATCTTGTTTTTAAGCTGTCTAGCCAAGTTGCCTTAAAATAAATAAATAAATATCTATCTATCTATATATAAATATATTTGTATTTGAAATATATGTATATATATATATATATATATATATATATATATATATATATATATATATATATATATATATATACATATATATATATATATATATATATATATATATATATATATATATATATATATATATATATATATATATATATATATATATATACATGCATATATACATATATTCCAAATACAAATATTGGTTATAAAGTTCTAATGGTTTTTAAAGCAGCATTTATTTTTATATATAAGCTTTATACAAAATAAAAACACAACTTTACACTTACGTATGGCTTTGATGCCTTTTGACGTAAAAATACAATTTTATCTTGTAACTTTGGATAGGTTTGCACAATAGCTTGACACACTGCCTGATACATCTGAGAAGTTGGATACCTAAAATTGAGAAATTTATTTCTGTAAAATTTATATATATATATATATATATATATATATATATATATATGTATAATACAACAGTTACATGTTAGAAACATGTGTTACTAATCCTTACAATGAATATTGCAGAAGATCGTCATAAACAACTCTAATTAACTGCCGCTCACTGGACATATCTAGATCTGCTTTAGAGCTGGCTTTCTCCAGTGCTGCTTTTAAGGACTTTGGAAGCTTGGGCAAACAGTATACTATTGGGAATTGTTGTAATCCAGGCATATGCTCAGTGCTACTAGATTGATCTTCTTGTAACAGTAAAAGTGGTGATGGAAACATTGGCAAAGTATCAGGAGACGTTGTTGCAGCTACAGAACCTATGCAATATAACTATTTAGCAATAAATGATTTATTCATAATTTACCATGCATATACAAATTCTATATGTATGGTAAGTTATAAATTGTGCAATACAATTTATTTGTTATTGATTAAAATAACTTACAGCTTTTTTAATAAATTTTTAAATTTACTTAGATTTTTCTCTGAAACAAAAATTGTTTCTGACCAGATGGAACTTCTTAGCTGTAAAGGCTTAAATTTTGCAAACACAAAATCAAAAAGAGGTTTGTTTATACAACCCTCTACTAAGCCTATAACTTGGTAATACAAAAACAAATTTAATTAACGTGCCTTTTTGAAAATTCCTTTTAAAACTGTAACAATATTGTAATGAGAAAATGTACAAATGTTACCCTTAATAATAACAACTTACTACACAATTCCCAATCTTCACCATCACGAAGAGCGAGTAGCACTTCACCCGAAAGACTGAGTAAAACATCAGTCTCTTCTATTTCTGTTCCATCAATATTTAAAACAATTTTAGCTGGGGAAAACTGGAATTTCTCTAACACTGGAATAAAAATTTAAAAATTAGGAGTTAATTTAATTTTTTTTTTAAACTGGGCTAGCTCTTCACAAGAATACTACTAATAATTTGTTATATTAAATTTCTTACCCTTTACAACCAGCATATCAAAATTTTCAGCAATAATTGCCTTTTTTACTAAGCGATCACCTGACCATATCTTGAAAAGAGGCATTTCCAATTTGTTTAGTGTTTTAATTCAAATAAAAAAAACTAAGACAAATAAAAATATATAACATTTATAAAAAAATTTTTTTCAGATTTAATAGTATAATAATCAAATAATAATTTAATAAGATATTTAATAAGATTTAATAAAATCAAATAATAATTTAATATAATTTTAATAAGATCAAATAATAATTTAAAAAGATATTTGAAAAGTTTTCAGATACTTAACAGTGTTTAATAATAAAAACTTGAGTAAACTGGTAAATAATAAACAGTATAAACAAACTAATTAAATACAAGTTGAAGTAAATTAAGATATGTATGCAAAACCAAAAGTATCAAAACAAATATTTTTGTTAGAAATAAAATTTCATATATAGTAAAGGTTCGATTTTCTCATTTCTCTTCTATGCATACGCGATGACAAAACAAAATGCCTTCCTGATTATTGACAAAATAGGATCCCAGGGACGAATGATTGGCATGTTCTCCAGGTATCACTACAACCCAATTGTCAGAGCACTCTATAGTATAAAAATCAGCAAATTCAATATATTCTTTTGCTATTTGCAAAACACAGCAAATAATCCATGTTCCTTGAAACAATAATATATATTTAACTTTTCCAAATAGGGGCATGTCATTGCTAGCTTTTTTCTGACAAATAATAGACGTTGTTGTATAAAAAACCTGTCCATTAATTCTAAGTTTAGTAGTGGATATAAACTGCTCAGCTCCATTTATTTGATGGGTGTTACCAAACCTATTTTTAATAGCATCTACAAGTTCAAATGGAATAGAACTTATAGATAAAATTTTCTGACTACCTAAAATTTCTGGACCCTTAACATATGGGCTTCTTCCGAAATTTGTAACACACTTACGCATTTCATGTCGTTGTGTCAAAGTGAATGTTATATTTTTAAAATTTTTTACACGGCGTGCAATCTGTTTAAAATATTGATGTTTAGACTCAAATCTCATTACCCAGAGGTGTCGCAGAGGTCCAAAATGTAATAGTAATCTAGGATAATGTACTAAATAATGGATTTTAGGTATAAATGAAACAGGACTAATGCATTCAAGTAGAGAATGGTGTCTTTGAATCAGATGCTCAAGAATAGGTATCCAATTTATATCAATTTCTGGAGCCAAAATGATTTGTACTATCTGTCGACAAAGCAAATGAAGCTGCCAAAAATTATTATTTAGGAGTATATCAGGATTTTTTACTAGGCAACTGACAAAAACTGGCAAAAAATGAAATAGCGACCATCTCTCTACTGCTTTTCCATGGATTCTTTTATTGGTTGTTCCCAAATTATTTGGAATACATGATACAGCAGGTTTATCACAACTATCTGGAATGCTATACTTGAATTTTGCTATTTCTTCTTTTAATTGAACAATAGTGAATAGTTTTTCTTTGATAAGATTTCTTACAACAATTGAAAAATTAACACTCAAAAGTCCTTCAAGTCCATCATGCATAAAATCAGGTGGGAAACATTCAATTGGATTGAAATATTGTAAACTAGATAAAGAACAACGAGAAAGAACACCATATACAGCACCAAGTGACTTATCAGTCTTCACTTGTTGAACATGATATTTATGTAAATCTATTGTTCGCAACTGACACGAAGATTCTGAATGAACATATGAAAGAAACCTAAACGAAACCATGCAGTGGCGACAAATTCTGCCAGATGAAAAGCAAGTAGAAAAACCACCAAAAGAATGAGAGGATAAGTTATCACCAGAGAATGTAACAATAGAACCATTTACATGTTCAATACTGCCATCAATATTTAAATCAAGTCCATATATTTCAAGCAATTTCACATCATGCATAAGTTTATTTAGAACTTTATCATATCCAAACCTTTTGACAGCACTGTATTGGGCAACTAATACTAAATGAATGTGATCGAGATTTGTCCATAAATGAGTGTCAACATTCTTAACTATAAAATAAAAAATTGAAATCTTGTGAGTACCCCGTCTGCTTCCTAGTGCATTACATATTTCTAGCTCATCATTATACAAATGTAAACGTATAAATTTATTGTTATTAACATTTAATGATTTAAAATGTGTGCCATCAGAGTAATCTCGTATAATGCCATCATTTTCAACTGATTTTAGACGATTTCGTTCACAGCTCGCCCATATATCATCTTTTTGAAGATAGTTTTTTAAAGTTTGAAGAATTGAAATATAATAACAGATTTTTTTTTTTTTTATCATGTTTTTTTGCAAAAATATTATTACCTGTGTTTGTTATAAGAGGTGGCGACAATATTTCACTGCTTATTTCATTGTTAGAACCATCAACACTTTCATTAAACTGGTGAAGTTCATTAGCTGGCATGTCAAGTTCTTTTGGTGGAACAAATTCAAGGTTATTTAGCATATATAACATTTTAAGATGATCTGTTGCAAATAATTGGTACACTCTGTCATAAATTGAGGAAAATGTTAATATTTGGTTCAACACAGAATCGTCATCTGATTCAATATTTAGTACCTTAAGCCTTTGTCTTATTAATGATACAAAACTATTTTGAAACAAATCAAGTAAATATTTAACCATATCACATATATCAGAAGCTGCTGAAAGAGGTAACATGTGTTTTTCGCGCAATTGTAGCTGTGCTATACATACATTATTTCCAAAACATTTTAAAAAATCAGAAAACTCTGTATTAAGTTTATTGGCATTTTCATCCACACACTCAATAATGGTTATGTTCTCTGTTTCCTTTTCCACGATATTTTCTTCTCTATCACTTTCTTCTGTATGTTCACATGTAATTTCAGATAGATCAGTCAGTTTATCGGAAATTATGGAAACAAGATGAGACGCATGAAATTTGAAAAGATGACACCTAAAGGTATTAACAGTGTTATAACGATAACCACAACTATCTAAACTACACGACAAACTCAGTTGTTTTTCATGACTATGCTGCAACATCATATGATTGATTAATCCTCGTGCATTGTAAAACCCTTTTCTACAGAACTCGACTTGACAATAATAGTCCATACTATAATATAATAATAGTCCACGCAGTTCAAAATCTGCAAAAGTAGTTTATAACAGTTAACTTTAAATGCCGCATGCATCCTTGAAACCGGATGCTGCTATTAATCTGTTAATAACAAATGTAAAAAAGTATTTCTAAGTTATTTAGCTTTTAGTTTTTTACTGGAAAAAAAAATGTATATAGATATATATATTTATATAATATATATATTTTTTTAAGAACTATGTTATTTTTATTTATTATTTACGTCGTCTGTCTTTTGGGTAGGAGCTTTTTAATTTGTAAGATATTTTTAGGGTTTACGAGCCGCATTTTGGTGACATCTAACATCAAGGTAGAAAACTATGCCTAGGTAGAATTTTCTTCCTTTTTTTACCAATTAAACTTAAGAGTAGATTTTTCTACCCTAAAAATATTATTTTCTACCCTCGGGTTGGATAAGATACCCGTATTATACCTTTTTTTTTTAGTGTGTAGTTTTTTCCAACACTGCAAGTCCTTGAATTTCTCCCAACTGATTGGTATTGGGGCAGTATATAAACACTCAAGTGACCTTGTTTTCAAAGGGTTGATTGTTTGTTTACCTTTAGGCCTCAATGTCACAACCGCAGTTTCAATGGTGCCGTTCCAGGAATCTCTAAAGCTGATGTAGACTTCTTGTAAAGGTCTTATTATAAAGGGACAAGAAACAAAACAAGTCTTGTCACTACTTACGGGAGGTATGTCTCTATGAAGTGATAAAGCATGAGGCACACATCATCATCACCCTTTTTAGCAACAGTTCCATCGTAAAGGTAGAAGTATACATCATCTGTAGACAGCACGTGGACATTAATTGAGACACAGGTCAGTTGACGCTTGCAATAAATATCGTTGAAAGTTTTGTTGGGAGAGCATAAATTTTTCTGAAAATCGAAAACGACTGCCTCTGTAGAACTATTTATCCGGGCAAACTCTTTCGTAGGAGAAGTCCCAGGCATTCTCTTTATCTTTGCAAGGTCATCGACTCTCCACTGCTTTCATCGTTAAATAAATATCATTTCACTTATTTTCAAGAATCAAGAGCAATAAGTGTGCAAAATAATTTTTACTCGGTGTTGTTATAGCATTCCTTTAGCTCTACAATTAATATGTTTTGTATGACAAATTATTTTTAACCTGTTATGACCGCATTATTAATTTTAATTAGTTTTAAAATGGCTTGTAAACACGACCACAACATATATAAAAGTGTATTAAATAAATGGACAAAGTCGAATACGATAAAAGAAAGTTTACCATTTAACCAAACAGTTATACCAAATCTAATTTACAGTAATGTAGAAAGTTTACAGTATTCATAAGCTATAACACGATGTCGCTATTAAAATAAATCTGCCTGAGATGGAGCGTGCCTGTGTTGATTAATGAACCTATATTTATACTATTTTAAAGGATCCTAGAGTAGTCATAATCTAGAATATGGAAGATATGCTAGTCCTGCTGTATTATATAATAAATTCCCAGAAAAGAAACAAAAGAGTTTTCTATCCTATACAGAAATTCTATACACTAGTAAATTTATTATCATTGACCCAATTATTTTTACCTTGACCTAATAGACATAAATAAATCAACAAAACAGTTGAGAATGCTCCACACACGTTTAAGATAATTTGACTTACATAACAAAGTCTAATGTTAAATTACTCAAGAAATTTCTTTTAAACAAAAATACTGGCCAACCTTTTTCTTATTCTAAGCAAGAATAGCATTTTAAAAAGAGAGAGCGAGACAACACAGTTCAACATTTTTCGCATGGCTCGAATATAATGACTAGTTTAATACAGCATTCTAGAAAAAAAGTTACAAAATGCTGAAATCGATTTATTATGCAATGGAACAATTACCAAAGGTCTTGTATTACTTATTGTTGTTCAAGATGGGTAGAAAAAAGATTCTTTACCTGAACATAGAAAGCAAGGTGCGAGTCTTGCGCATCTTTGCTACTAATCAAATTAAATTAAATAGACCGTCTTTTTCTTCATCAGTAATTTTTTCAAAATATTTCATCTTGCACTTGCAATCTTCCCCTCTCTCATGACTTGAAATGCGTTAAAATTTCAGCTGTTCTTTATGAGTAAAATTCTTTTTTCTTTTCTTTGGTTGGTCACTAATGATCGGGCGATCAGTGCTGCTTTCCGTCATCTTTAAAGCAGACATCTAACAAAAATAGCGCTGGATTGGCTCGCACATGTCATGTGATAGAAAAAATGCCAGCTGATAACTAGTTTGATCGTTTTGTCGCTGTAAACATTGGACTCTGATCGTTCTGCCAATGTGTGGTGTTTTTAAAAATTCCAATAACTCAAGACAATCTTTTTTAATTAGTCACTTCAGGCAGACAAAGTATGAGCCCAGGGCTACAATAAAAGGGCAATAACTCAAAAAAATCAAATTTGTGACTCTGATCGTTCTTCCGTTGAGGCCTTCATATATATATATATATATATATATATATATATATATATATATATATATATATATATATATATATATATATATATATATATATATATATATATATATATATATATATATATATATATATATATATATATATATATATATATATATAGTATATATTACTGTTACCCGCAGTGTCAGGAATTAGCTAAATGCTAATATTTATAATATTATTTGCTACTCAGAGTTTCATGTGTTACCACAATCTTCAGGCAAGTAAAATTAATTTTTTACTACTTGCCTGAAGATTATGGTAACACATGAAACTCTGAGTAGCAAATAATATTATAAATATTAACATTTAGCTAATTCCTGATACTGCGGGTAACAGTAGTATATACTATATAGCTCTAGTTTATCTATTATCAACCAGTAAAGAAGTAGGATTATTTAAATGTAATGATAATCGTTGTAAAATATGTAAATTCTACCTTCAAGAAGTTAAATCATTTACGACATCAAATGGTACTATATGGAACATAAAAAGCTATATTACTTGTAATATTAAGAATGTAATATGCTATTTAAAATGTTTGTCATGTAACAAGAAAGCTACATACACTGGAAAAACAAATAACCTACGACTTCGGACTAATGGGCACATTTCTAGTTGTAGAACTGGGGAATCAATAGATAGGTTTGATAACTATGTATACAATTGTCAACGTGAGCATAACTTTATTATAGAACTTTTTTTCCAGCTTTTTGTGTTTATGGAGCTAAAAAATGAAAAAAACCTAATTTTTTATGAGAAGCATTTTCACAACCAAAAACATGATATTTTTAATTGATATTAGAATATAGATTACAATAGTTGCTAACAGCAACATTAAATAATTATCCTTTCCTGTTTGTAAAAAAAATTATATTTTGTTGTTATAATAACAAAAACAGCACTACTGATGATTTTTTGAAAGGCCTCTAGTGCTAAATTTTATAATTAGAGTAATTTTTGTAAAATTAAAAGAAGAAAATATTTCGTTTATTGTTTATTTTGTTGACTAATTTTTTTACTTATATATATATATATATATATATATATATATATATATATATATATATATATATATATATATATATATATATATATATATATATATACTATAGAATATTTATATGCGCAATTGCTCACTTTTTTTGCTAGCCTAAACTAAGTGAGCATTTTTAGAAAACGATGAGGGAAAGCGAAAAATAATGAATGAAAAGGTTGCTGACCCATACCAAACCCTCAGTCGATGTAGCAGCACTCCACTGCGAGTCAGGCTATTTGTCAGTCGATGTATGTACTGAAACCCCCGGCAGCAGGCTATTTGACGTTAGGTGAGTATGACATCATCATGCTCACCTAACTCAACAGTTAGTAAAGTCTAAAAGTTACACATTATTTCTATTAGGTGAAAAGAAAAATGCATTATATGATCCAGATTACATTCCTACAGTATTTTCAGCTTTCAATAAACCTGAAATACAATATCCGTCTAATAAAAAACAGAAAATTGTTTTTTCCTTTCCAGTGGATGCAACATCAAAATGCTCCTCAATGGAAGTTAATGAAATACCACTTGTTTACTCGTCAGCTTCAACTAATTTTGAAAAATTTCAATTAATGGAGAGTGAGCGTGTAAGTATTTATGCTGAAATGAATAGTCTACAAGCTGAAATTAAAATTTTAAATGACAGACAAAATTCAAATTACATTTCTTCAAACAATCAAATCACAATGGTTTACCTCTAAAAAAAAAAATTCACATTGAATTTGTGCATAGTAATGATGGGATGAATCCAAATAATATTTTGAATTTTGTGCTTTTATGTAAAACCTATAACTGTTTATAGCACCCGATAACCCTTTTTCTTTAAAACTGTAAGGGCATTTAACTTCAATGGCAGCATAACCGCAACACGAACAAAAAGCAAAACCATCTGGTGAGACTTCAAACCACGGTTTTTGCTGACAAACATAAAAGCCGATATGAATGACTTCAAATTCTTTATGAACCATAGGAGATAAACAAATTGATTCAGTTACATAACCATCTACCAAGCAAATATTTATATACTCTGCTAGAGCAATTTCTTCCTTTTTTTTTCCCCATAATAAGGAAGGAGTATTTATTGAAGAGAAGTTAGGTTTTGTTATCTTTAAAACTAAAGATTTTGATGGAGATTTCAGAGATACACAGGCTGACTGAACTCTGGTTGCTTCTTCGAGGTAATTTACTTCTTCAGCTGTTAAACTCAGTGATTTAGCTAGATTGTTAGCCTCTTGCTCACTTAGATTAAGGTATGAATGTTGATAAAAGCTTTTTAAAGTTTGTGGAAATCTTAAAGTTAATTGATTAACATTTGAATTTAAAAATAGGGTTTAAAAACCTTTAAACAATGACAGTACAGCAATTTTTGGATTACATTGTTCAAGAGACTTCAAAAAATAATTTTGATCTTCTGCTAATGCCTATTAAAAAACAATATAAATAAACAATATAAATCTTATATATCTTAAAAATAGAAAAACCAAGGTTGTTTTTAAAAACTTAAATATTTATATTTGTAATAATATGAATAAAAAAGTTGTGCGAAAACATTTACCGCAATAGCAGGTTCTCGCATCTTAAGTTGGAGCTTGTACTTAGACTTATCACTATAGAAATTTATTCCTGTGATTGGAGCAGGTTTTACATCGCGAGTAAATATTTGGTTCCATTGACATGGTACATCAGTGCAGGTTTTAGAAATTAATCCTAATCAGACAGCTGCTTCCATTTTGAATAGAATTGAAGCCACATGTGAGCATGTTTCACCGAGTCTAAACAATTGTATTAAAAACTACAGATAAATATTAGAACTTGCTCAAAACAATCATTGAAAATTTAACTGATTATTGTTTTGTTATGTTCTCTAAAGAACTCTTGTAGGTTTCTACTAGATTCTATCATAACAAACTCTGTAAAAGAATTAAAATCAACTTTATTTCTTTTAAATTATTAATTAATAATAATAATTTTAAATCATTAAGAACTAAAGAATACTTTAACTCTAAATTCTACTAAGACTCTACTACTGAGCATTTCCAAAAAATCACGCACGGAACATTGCATCTGTTGCATTAATTATTTTGAAAATAATGCAGTTTGTAACCTCTGACTTACTTTTATTTAATTGACATCTATGTATATATTACCTACACAAAGTATGGTAGCTATGGGTTGCTTCATTATAAAATAAATGAATTTTTTAATGGAGTCACGCACGGAACAGAAAAAAGCAAAAAATAAAAAATTAATAAATGAATCCTATTTTTCTGAAAATCTATTAGTGACGAGTGTTTTATTTTTTATAAGTAATTATACAAGCATTTTTAAAGATTTTTACAAAGTTACAGCATTCTACGATGTATCTTAGCTCTGTAATAGTAGTTTAAACCAAAATCATGCACGGACAAAAAAAAAGTAACGAACAGAACATGCAAATATTAGTCATTTGGATTGTATTTTTGAAAATAAATCGATTGCGACTATCAAAAATAGCATATATATCAATACTAATTAATTTAATACACGTTGGATTAAAAAAAAAAAATACTTAAGCGTATTATAATAAAGATAAATAATGTATTATATAGTTAATAATCAATATCAAATTTTTAACAAGTCATGCCAGGAGAGGTCGTCTACTGATGGGTATATAAAAATGAGTTCGTTTTGTTCTTTTAGGAATTTAATATGTGCTCTACTATCTAAAATTTCTAATGCTTCGGCAAGGTATGTCTTTACTCTACCAGCAGAACGCAATTCTACAAAGACAAATATGCCTGGAGAAATAGTATCAAACTTGTACCTTTCAGATGGGGATGTTACCGCGTTTATCAATAATGAAGATGATGAATTCTCAACAATTTTTACCATTTCTGATTGGTTACAAATTGCCATGTAAGCGCCATCAATATTAAAAAGAAAAGAGTGGTGGCGACGAATACCTTTGACTTTAAACTTATCTTTGAGAAGAATGTCATCGATCTCATTTTGGTTTGCGGTAATACACTCATTTGTAATAGAGATGATCTAAAAAAATGAAAATTTAATAACCAAAAGTTTCATATCTTTAACTCTCATTTTGAGGTTTTTTCTATAAATAATGACTTACATTAATTTTAGTATTTTTTTCACTTGCAATACTCACAAAATCTTCTAAACTACGACATTATCGTTTTCCAGGTTTTACTGTTGTCTAAACCATTCTTTTTATTTTCCACCTATCCCATCAACTGCCCCCTTTCCGTGTGATGTTGCAAGAAATGACCAACGAATCTCAAGAAGATCAGATGATAATTTGTACAAATTATTCATGGCTGTCATGACATAGGAGTTTTTGAATTGTGATGAAGGACCATCAGTGAAAAAGTGTAATTTACAAATATTATGATAACGACTTATCTTTGATAATGAACAAGACTGCATATTTATCATGAAGTAAACGATCAGATACAATGGAATAGGAATGTGTATTGTTTTTACTCCAAACTGCTGCAGTGAAAACTGTTAGTTGGTGATGAACCCAGTAAGCAGATTGAATTTCACTTTGCTCCATTATGGTGTAATTTTCACTGAAATCCATCTAATTTTAGAAGAATTAAAAATATAAATGGATGAATAATTAGTTTATAAATATTAATACAAAATTATTAAGTTTTGTTATCGTACTACAAATAAAGTTACAATTTTACTTACTTGTATAATCAATTCATTTTCTGATACATTTCGGCGACATAAACGAAAATATGCACTTTGTTGTCGTTTAATATACACATGACGTATATAATCTGGCAATTGCTGACGAGTAATATGCACTCTTCTAACAAAGATGTTAGTGGTTGTTCAATTTTCTGCGGGTTTTCTAAGGACCATTGGTCAAAAACGAAAAGCGGTTTGTTGGAATTGTCACCAAATGAGTCTATTACATTAGAAACATTTTCATCAAACTTTGGCAACCCACAGTTTGCTTTACATTCCATAAACATGCAAGATTGGTTGTTTTGATTACACAAAGATCTGTCAACTATGTCTGACATAATATTAAATTTTTTTTGAAGGGCTTTTGTTAACAACCTGAAATTTTCATGGTATATGCAAAAGCAAATATCGTGAGGAAGATCGTTTACTAGCTTGACATAGAATGGCCGCAGATCGTAAAACTTAGATTTTCCCACTTTTAAATTAATATGCTCACTTTTAAAAAAAATATGCTTCTCCTATGGTCATCAGCATGTGACGAATTTGTTTCTAAAAGAAAACAAAAACTGTTTACAAAAACTGAAAACCTTATTAAATAAAATGCGATTCCTACATACAAACGATGTGTCATACTTTCTCTTTTGTTTTCTCATTAATAGCAACATCTTTACGTCCTGGAGCCATTCTACTAATATATAAAAAACTTTCAGGCTCTTATTTAAAAATTATATAGATCATGGTACTGTATAGGAGGCCACTATGCTGGATCATCTTTCCATTTTTCAGCAGCAAACTTGTATGGGCACTGCTTTATACCAAGAACTTCAAACTTTTCTTTATATCTTTCTAACGCTTTAAAAACTAGCTTATTGCAGTATTCATAGACGACATACTATCGATCGCTCATACAAAACTTTGTGAATTTCAAAAGTTTTCACTAATACCTTTCAGTGTTTTTAATTTAACGTTTTATTTAATGTTTTCCCCCTACAAAGATGGTAACTCGTTTTGTGACGCGATCGCGACCTCAAGGATCGGCCAAAGTTAACCCGCTTACCAAAGTAACCACACTCCACACTGTTAAAGTATTACGTACGTTATAGGTACGTTAAATGTAATGGTGGTTATAAATTTTTTATATTGTTTTTATAGCAAACCAAACACAATCGGCATTAGATATTATTCTCTACATCATTGACATTAGTTATTATACAGTTCATCATATTTAAAAAAGAATTGTGTGAAGAACATTCATATATGCATTATTTTAGATGAGTTTTAAGGCATTTGAGGTAACAAACGTTATCGAACAAAGTAATTTTGGCGATAAAGTAAAAGGTACAATATCTTGTCTAGATGTTTCTACAAATAACCTTTACATCGGAACTTCTGACTGCTTTTTATCGCATTTTGCCTTTGAAAAAGGAATTTCTCCATCAAATAAAGCAACATTTATTAGTAAGTTGCAAAGGCACAAACACCTTGGTTTTCAAAAACCAATTAAGCAGTTAATAGCATGCTTTCCTGCATGTCAATTACTTGTGCTTTGTGAAAGTAAAGTTTATGCTGTCTCTATGATTGGTTTAGAATTCAGAAATAATTCAAATAAGGAGATTTTTAAGGGAATAACAGTTATGGCAAAAAACAAAAATCCACAAAGTTTTAATCCTGATGAAACACAATTATGTTTAGGAACCAAAAAGAAAACGATTCAAGTTGTCACTTTTTCAAAAGATAAAATATTTGTTTTAAAAGAAGTTAATCTTCCAGGTATACCTTTAACACTGTCTATAGATGCTCAAACTGTTTGTACTGTGCTTGACAACCAATATTATTTAGTTAATTACATAAAATATGCTATCCAAGAGTTGTTTATTTTTGAAAAAGGACATGTTTTACCATTAGTTAAATGTATTGGATTCCAAGAATTTTTGCTGAATGGGCCGACAGATACAATGGGTATGATTGTTACAGCAGATGGTCTTTCATTACACCAACCTTTGACGTGGTCAGAGAGTATTTTGTCAGTTGCATGTAGTTATCCATATATTTTGGTTTTAGGCAATAGTACTGTTACTATACATAATCTAATTGACCAAAAACAAAAACAAACCATGCTTTTTACAGGTGGAGTTTTTATTAATGATTACAATGGTGATGTTTATATTGCAACACAAAAATCTGTAATGGCTTTTATTGCTGTTCCTTTAAGTAAGCAAATACAACTGCTAGTTGATAACAAACGTGTGGAAGAAGCATTTGATTTACTCCAAGTTGCTAGAAAGCTCAAACAATGCCCACCTAATTTTGATAAGCAAATCCAAATTCAAGCTGCATTTATATATTTTTTGGAAAATAACTTTGAAAAAGCATACAAGTTGTTTGTTGAGAGCTTTATGGATCCTCGTGAACTTATAGTATTGTATCCTGATATTATGCCAAGAAACTCAACTTATATTCCTTCAAAACCTTCATATCATTCAATTCCAGATATAATGTTTGTTGTAAAAAATAGTCAAACTGCATTGAAAGAATCTAAATTATTACTTTTAAAATATTTAGAAGTTATTAGAAAACATCATAGTGATTTAAGTTTTGAGATTGATACTGCACTTGCTAAGATTTATATAGAGTTTGATCATCCTTCTCTATTTGAATTTCTTTCAAAAGAAAATAATGCTTTTGTTGAAGAAACCTTGTCTTGGCTCCAAAAGTATAATCAGTTTCAATGTATGGCTTTCTATTTTGTGTATCTAAAACAACCACAGAAAGCTATGGACATATGGAACAAACTTCAAAGTAATAAACTTCATGATGATAAATACACTGGTATGTCATGTATTATTGACTATTTATTAAGTGTAGATAACACAGAGCTAATATGGAACAATATCAAGTGGTTGTTAGATAACAATGAAACATTAGCTGTAAAAGTTTTTATTAATCGAGACATCTTCAGCCATGTTCAAGTTTTTAATTTTTTACATAAGTTTCCTATTGCACTTCAAGTGTATTTAGAGTATCTAGTTATAGATAAGAAAATTGATGAAGAGGTATTTCACACCCATTTAGCAGGTATGTATATAGACCATGTTTTAAAACTTTTAAATGAGAATAATCAAATAAATGAAATAAATCATGAAAGGAAAAGACTTCAAAGTTTACTAGAAACTTCTTCTAAATACAAAATATCTACTTTACTAAATAAAATATCTGAATACCCTTTGTACCATGAAAGTGCTATTCTCTATGGAAAACTTGGTCAACATGATAAAGCCATGAAAATTTTAGTATACAAACTAAAAGATTTTGTTGCTGCAGAGCGATACTGTGACATCATTTCTGTAAATAAAGATAACATTTTCAAACAACATCTTTTTCATATGCTTCTTAATGTTTACTTGAATCCTGTTGAAAATGAAGATGGTGTTAGAGCTGAACATCTTGTAGAGCCAACAATTCAACTACTTAATAAAAGACGAGCTGAATTCAATTCGGTTTCTGTCTTGAAAATTTTACCAGAAGATTGGTCAGTGGGATTAATTCAACCTTTTTTGTCTGGAACTCTGCGAGAAATGTTATGGAAAGAAAGAAAATCAAAAATAGAGTCAAGACTGTGTAGTCTGCATTATTTAAAAACCAAATTTTCTAATATTTCTTTACAATCTGGATATTTTAAAATGACAGAAGATTCATGTTGTGACTTTTGTTTGCGCCCCTATACTGAACCTATATTAGTATGTTATCCTAATAAAAAAGGTTTTCATCCTCACTGTTGTAAAGATAAATATATATGTCCAGCAACTAAAATAAATTTTAAATGAATATTTAAAAAAAATTTTAATTTTTGATTAAAGTAACCAAAATTTTTTTTGAATCACGGTGTTCTTTATGACTTTAATATTGTTTTGTAAAGTTTAATTGACTTGATGTATTTTTCAGTAATGCTTTGATGTCTGATTAATTTGAAAAAAATAAGTTGCTTTTAAATTAAAAGTTTTAATAAGTTGGTTTAAGTTTATTCTATAACCACTTATAATTTAAAAACATACAAAATATATTTTGATTTTAAAAACAAAAGCAGTTCAGTCAGTCTCTCTAATATTGGATGTTCTGATGTTCACATTCCAGGTTTCTCTAATTATGTAAAATTATGTAATCCTAATATAAGTAATTGGTAGTTATAGTTATGTCAATAAAAAACAATTTGTGAGGTCTATGTTTCCTGATTCTGTTGTTGTAAAATAATATAAAGAAGGTGAAATTAAAATTAAATATCGGTCTGTGTTAAAAGTATATCAAAAATAAGTAAACACATCATTTACTTTTAAGTTTAACAAAGCATTATGTGTATAGTATACTGTTTTGTTAGAAATATTACTTTAAGCATTTTCATATTATTTAAAATGGATTCTATAGATGTCAGTTTAAAATTTCCTTTAAAATTGTGTATGATGAATCTGTATCTTATCTAATTTGGGTTGGAGCTATGATTAGAGCTATATTTTTGATTAAATACTTTTGTTTTTTCTTAAAATATTAAACTATACATACAAATAAAAATATATTATATATTAAATAAATAAATATAATATATAAAAAATAATTGTTTACTGTAAATTGTTTACAAATTTAATTTTTAGTTTAAATTTCTAATTTAAATAATAAAATGTTCTAATATAAGTATTTGTTTACCTAAATTTAATAAATTTTTATTACTGTATATCAAAATAGTTTATTTACAGATGATCGGTATAGAAATCTGTACAGCATATCTTCTTATACATTTTGGATTTGGTATTAGTCAGATGCCAAATAAATCTCCTATTCTACCAATTGTTGAAGATCTTCCTTTTATCAAGTGTGATGTATGTCAAAAAGCTGCTAAAGTTCTTTTTAAAACCATAGAAAATCAAAGAAGTGAGAAAAAGGTTTGTTTTCTTAATATGGTTATTTTTTATATCAATTTTCTTTGCTAAATAGTATCTGTTTTTTAATGCATTTTGTTTGGTAAAACTTTATATCAGTTTTTTAATGAATTTTGCTTAGTAACACTTTCAGCTTTTATAGATAGTCTTTATTGTAAAAAAAAAAAAATCTTTATAACTGGCGATAACTAAAAAATGAGAATTTTCATATTGGGCTATAATAAAAACAAATGTTTAGAAAATGAAAATTATATTTATTTTAATTGAAAGTACATTAGTTATCTTTAAGAAAAAATTAATGAACATTTAAATATGGTTCATCATCAGCAGTTTGTCATGATATTGGAACAAGAGCATTATTCAGCATTTATATTGATTTGATGAATGCATCTTTTGATTCGGGTATTCAATTGTTTGCAATTCTTAGCTCACCAGTTGTGTTTGTATACTAACAAACTCAAATATTCAAATAAATCTCCAATTAGGTGACACTGAGGCAAGTTTGTCAGATTGCAGTTTTTGGTAAATATGGGGCGTTTTGGCTTTTTAAGAAGACTTATGTTTTTTTGGCATAATACCATGATGAAGAAATGGAATCAATGTTTTCTTCAAACATTGATTTTGGTATACTTCTTGATTAATAGCAAAACCACTTGGCTTAAACAATGATTTGGAAATTCCCCTCTCAGATAAGACAATGTGCAGCATCAATTTCTGCTCAAACTTGTGTTTATATTTGTATTTTACTTTTGTTGGTGTTGTAGAACTTTTATCTGCATAATATTGATTCTTTCCTGGAACTTGTGTTTTGGAGAGGGGGAAGTAACTTTTGTCATCCAAAACAAAACATTTTCCAGAGTAATTTCTGGTCATCCAGCAGCATTGAGATTTCATGGATAATATTTGTTGCTCAGTGCATTCCAGTGCTCTTGTTTTTTTTTTGGCAGACTATTACTTGTTATTTCAACAATTTGCAGATATAAGGCTGCGTACAATGGAATTTTTCTACAGCATCTCTTTGAATTTTGAATCATTTTTTTTTTTAAACACTGTGAAGCAAACAAAGTCCCTTCTTGTTTATTATTTTAGCCGATCTTCCACTACCACTTTTCATGATTGGTTGTTAAGGATGCCAAAAAATGGTAAATTGTTGAAACTGGAACATTTTTGATTTTAAAATGATTATATTGATAATCATTTAAATGATTAACTTTTTTCCGAGATTTTTGTGCATTTGATAGAACTTTACAATGTGCTTGTGTAGTACATCTTGTTTTGACGGCATTTTAAACAAAACTGAATTAGTTGATGCAAAACAAAATATATAAGTTTGTAAACAGAGAGAGTTAGTTTCACATAGGAGTACTTTTCTTTTTTTGACTTTTGCAGTTTGATTTCAGAGGGTTTGAATTATTCTCATTTTTTAGTTATCACCCGTTATTTCTAATGACAAATTTTAAATTAATCAGCCCATCTATAATCTACAACATAAAAAATTAAAAAGCAAAAGATTTTTTCTGACAGTAAAAAGTAAATTTTTTTAATTTAATTTTTTAAAACTTTTTTTAAGTTTTAGTTAAAAAAATGAATATTGATATTTTATCTGTGAAAAATGAATATTGATATTTTATCTGTGATTTTTTCTTTTTAAGTTTGTGCTGTTGCAAAAAGTTTTTTTAAAATTATTTTTGTCTATTTTAAGATTCTTATTGTTTTATGATAACATTGACAACAGTATCTGTTGACAACAGTATTTATAGTTTCTTGTAATGAAATGTTTGTGAATAAGCTTGTGATATCATAGGATACAAAAAAAAAAAAGTTTATTTATTTATTTTTTTAACAGTGGTAAAAGAAAATTTTTTTTTTTTTTCGGTACAAAATTCAGATAGTATTAATTAGATAATAAATCTTGATGAAATCTAGTTATAAGTATCAATAGATGATATAATAGGTCAGAAACATATATCATGATCAAAATACCTTAATTTTTGTGTTTTCGAAAGATTGTATATGCAAGCAGAAGGAGAACCTGTAGGATAATTTTTGTTATAATTAGAATCACCAAAGAAATGTCGACTTATGTTTCATTTAGAAGTTTTAAAGTTCTATTTCCCTATTAATGGTGAAATCTTTTTTAAATTGTTTAAATTTATTTGGCTTATTAATAATACTGTCCTATTGTCATAAACCTATCTAATTAGATAAGTTTATGAAAATGGGAAATATTATTAATGAGCCAAATAAATTTAAACAATTTAAAAAAGATATATTAATAAAAGAACACCATTTCCTTCATCTATTGACAATGAAAGTTTTTACTTTTATAAATTTTTCTATTTCTTTTTTGGTATTACAATTCAAAGCTTTGATCAAAATAAATCAAACTGTTGAAAATAAATTAACTGGCTTTTAGAGCAATTTCTTTAAAAAATTGTAGTTTCTCTTTGTTGTGTCTGGCTATTGCATTGCATTGTAATCTTTCCCTTATTAAACGAGAATTTGATATAGATGCACCTGATAAATTTAAATACAAAACTTTGATAGAACTTCAAAATTTCTACAAGTGTTCAAAAACTTTTTTTTCTTAACTTTATTCTGATTTACTTCCAAAAAGGCTGCAAGCAACCACTATTAAGTTGGAGTTACTAAAAAACAAAAAATAGATTTTTTATATTTTATCCAAGGTTCTTTGAGTACAGGTTTGCACTTCTTAAAGGGATCTCCAACTGCCTAGACAAGTTGTGTTCATATTAAAGAAATTGTTTAAAAAAAACATTTGGGCTAAATTTTTTTGAATGAAACTAAATTATGAATGCATACCAACAAAATTAAAATTATCGTTTTAGTCGAAGCTCGCTGTCTCCATTTTTTTTTGGTTCTCAGAGTCTGTGTAATGTTAGCCGCAATCTGCAGACTAATTTATTCCATGCGTGTTTATTTCATAACTGTGTAATGTTAGCCGCAATCTGCAGAATAATTTATTCCATGTGTGTTTAATTCATAACAGTTTTGGCATATGACGCTATTGCAATATCTTTTTAAGATAGCGTTTTTTGTTGTTGTTGTTTTTTTTAAAGATAAAAGTATTTTTTCTACTACAATCAGAAAATCAAATATTTTTATAATTTTTTGCTAAATCACAAAAAATATTTGTGATATTGTAAAAAATTATGCGCATATATGTATATATATTTTTATACTTGTAATTTTTTTTTATTTGCTTTATTTAAATTTTATTTTAAAAGCCAGCCAAAATCATGACACAATTATACATATTTTGTGATTATTAGAGTTCACAGGCAGAGAAAAAATAAAGGCAGTATGATTCAGTTTCTCGTTTTATATTTAGTTCATATGGTTTAATAGAGTTGTTCGTTTTATGTTTAATTTACATTTAGTTATGGTTTAACTCTTTTACTACCCCAAGCCACTAGTAGTGGCTTTTGAATATGTTTTACAATTTATCTCGTTATTTACATTAATTTCCATTCTAGACATAGAATTTGTTTGTATTGAAGGTTCAACTAATTCTCTACATAATCAAGAAAAAGTAAGAGCTATATTGTGTAATTATAAAAAAGTTATTGCAAAGTTAAAAAATCTTGAATAACCATAAAACTTCTTTAAATTTAGTTATAAAATAAAACAGCGTTAACACTGTTGTAAAACTTAACTTGTACAAGTGTTAAGTATTTAGTTAAGTAATTACCAAAGTATTTTGAAAAAAAAATACTTTTTATTCATTAAATGAGATTTGTTTCGGACTTTGTTACTACTTATAAAAACAATAGTTTTAAGCACTTGGCATTTCTTACTGTTTAATGATGGGTGTTAAAATCTTTATTATTATCAAATTTTAATTAATTGTCAATGTTATGCCATTCAAATTTTATTCAAAAAAATGTGCGGTTGCTACAAAAAGATTTTTTTTCGGCTGGTAGCAAACAAGTTAATGTGATTCTTTGTTTTTATATTTATATTATAACTATTATACTATAGCTATACGTTTATTAGTAAAATAATTTGTTTAATATTTATTTTCTACTTAGTTCAGTTTATGTTTTATTCAAGTTGCTCGTTTTTTATTCAGTTTAAATTAATTTATACACTTTAGTAAAATTATTCTTTTAGTATCTAGTTTATATTTAGTTTGAACCAGTAGGTTTTACTGTAAATATTTGAACCTGTTGATGACAGGCTTCATTTTAACATGAGCTGCGTCTGAAGCTCTGCATATCTTTAAAGAGATTTTGCCTGATCTGGAGATTAAGTCTTCTAAGTGTTCTAGTAATATTACTTTCTGAGTGACAGTCAGATCTTTTTCAAGATACTGTAATAAAATATCAATCAAGTTTTTTTAAATAATACTGTTTATTGTAATAATATCTCTTTAAAAGTATTATGTATAAATTATAGTGAAATACCAAAAAATTTACTGGGGCCAGGGTTGGTACCCAAAACCCAAAAACCCAGAATTAAAAACCCAACTTAATAGATTGTTGGTCTTAAATTTTTTATTTTTTATTATTTTATTCAAATATTGATTTCCATTAACACGCAAGATTTGATGCTGGTCAACAATTGTCTTAAAAACAACTTTTAGTTTAAATGCATAATAGCCTGCATAAATTCAGGATAGACTTTATTTAACCATTCCTCTACTTTTTCTTCTTGACTTCTATCCAATGTTCTTCCTAAGTAAATAAATAAAGTTATAAGAGTAGTAAATTTACATGAAAATTTTAATTAAAATCTGTTTTTATTTAAATTTGATCAGATTTACAATTTACAATTGTTTAGTTACCTTCATATTTTGAATCTGTTAAATTGGCCAAAAAATAACATGGAACGATTGTATTCTTAAACTTCTATAAAAAATCATCTTTGTACAAAGCCAAAGTTGTATCGCCTGCTTCCAACCACAGCAAACACAATAATTTAGTTAATAAAAATAAAGTTAGAAAACTATCCAATGCGTCCTGTTGTTTCCACTATTAACACACCTCCTTATGGAACATCTGAGATCTGGTTAAAATTATCCAACCAACCTTAAACAAAAATATAACTGGACTAATTAATTCAAGAAACTTTGTCAACGATGCTAAAGAATGGAAGATAGGCCCTAATAAAATTTTAGGTTTCTTTCGATGTAATTAATTTATATCCATCCGTACCAATCGATGAAGCAATTCCTGTTATTATTAACATATTGAATGATGATCTTGAAGATTTAAAAAATAGGACTAAATTAACTCTCATAGATATACACCAATTAATTGAACTTTTGTTAAGGGTATGTTAATTTTTATACAAAGATAAAATTCGAATTTTACCAATTCAGGTCCAATTGGTTTATCATTGATGGTAGTCATAACTAAAGCATTTTTGCTAAGTATAGAAAAAAGAGCACTTGATATATATAACCTTTGTTAATTCATTCCAACCAATAACTTACAAAAGATATGTGGATGATAGCCATACTGGTTTCGATTTTAAAAAAAAGCAAAAATTATTTCTTAAAGCTTTAAATGAACAAAACCCCTCCATAAAAGATACCGTTGAACTTGAAAATGAAAGAAAACAACTTAATTTTTTAGCTATTTGTATCACAAATACAATGAATAGATTTTATGAGTTTTAAGTACACCGTAACATAACATGTTCAAATAAAACCAAACTCCAGCATCAATCCAAGCATAACCACTGGCGTCTGTTTTTTATGAGAGCAAAACAAATATGCTCTTTAAAATATTTCTTACAAGAAATTGATTTCCTCAAAAATACATTTTTTGAAAATGGCTCTAACAAAAATAATCTTATTAAGATAACCAAAAACTATTTAGACAGCGTTTCAAATAATACTACATCTAATCAATTAGATCAAAAGTTTGTTCAACTACCTTAGATACCTATTATTGGCCAAAACTCCAAAGAGAATTTAAAAAACAAAACATCAGAGTTATATTTACTTCAGCTCCTAATTTAAATAATATATTATGCAACAACAAAACAAAACTACCTCCGAACTCAAATCCGGGAGTTTACCAATTTAAATGCTCATGCGGAATTATATATATTGGTGAGACCAAAAAAAAATCATTGCAAGAATTGAAGAACACCAAAGAGCTTGTAAAAATCAAAAATGGTTGAGTTCAGGATCCAGGGAACATTCTAGAACATGCCGTGGTAACTTTGATTGGCTTTGATTGATCTTAAGGCCTTGGCAGTCGTTCTAAAATACAGGATACAAAAAATTAGAGAATCTCTGGAGATTAACAAAGCAAAAGTTCAATATGAGATAGGTTATGGGGAAGGTGTTCTAAATCGAGATGACGAGGATAAGGTTAAAACGAGAACTTAGGGACCCATTTTGACAAAAATTTAACTGATGTCATTATTATATTATTTAATTGGTTTTTATATTTGACGCTTTTTAATGTCTTCTTTTTAAAGGGTTTGTTTTATATTATTTTGTAATGTTTTATTATTACCTGATGATGCTGACCACAATAGGTCAGCGAAATATCGTAAATATATATTTACACCAAAATATATTTAAAAATAGTTAGCCTTTTTATTAAAATCAAATTACATATATATATATATATATATATATATATATATATATATATATATATATATATATTATATATATATATATATATATATATATATATATATATATATATATATATATATATAGTCTTGCATGTCTCTTGCGTAGCATCAAAAAATATTTCCCATAAACTGTAGTTTTAAAGAGCGCGTTAATAAACCAGACCAGAAAAAGTTTTTTTTTTTTTAATTGATAGACTGCCTGGCCAAACCAAACCCTCAGTCGATGTAGCAGCACTCTCTTGCGAGTCAGACTATTTGTCAGTCGTTGTAGCAGCACTCCCTTGCGAGTCAGGCTATTTGTCAGTCGATGTAGCAGCATTCCCTTGCGAGTCAGGCTATTTGTCAGTCGATGTAGCAGCACTCTGTTGCGAGTCAGGCTATTTGTCAGTCGATGTAGCAGCACTCCGTTGCGAGTCAGGCTATTTGTCAGTCGATGTAGCAGCACTCCGTTGCGAGTCAGGCTATAAGATAGTCGATGTAGCAACATTTACGCATGTTTAAAAAATGTTTTTTATTAAATCAATAACAAAAACACCACTAATTAAAAAAATCTTTCTAGTCGTTATAATTGCGGTTTTTTAAAAATTTTTTAAAAAACAATTAAATTTAATGTACTTCCGCATAAATTAACTGCTTTGACATTTCGACGACAATCAAAAACAGCTTAAGAGACGAGGTAATTAAAATTGTAGTCGTAAGAGACTTTTTTTACATTAAAATGCTCTTAAAGCGACACTATATGAGTATATATATATATATATATATATATATATATATATATATATATATATATATATATATTTATATATATATATATATATATATATATATATATATATATATATATATATATATATATATATATATATATATATGTATATATATATATATATTTATATATATTTATATATTTATATATCCTTATATCGTAGTCGAAGGAGACTTTTAATGTAGATAAAGTCTCTTTTGACTACAATTTTGTTACCTTGACAATTAAGCTACATTTTATTGTCGTCAAAATGTCAAAGCAATTATGTTAATGCAGAAGTACATTAAATTTTATTGTTTTTAAAAAAAACCGCAATAATAATGACTAGAAAGTTTATGAATAGAAAATTTTGAAAATAATTTTGTTAATAAAGTAAATTAATATTTTCATTTCAAATATGTTATTTGTCAGATTTTCTAAAAACTATTGTTTTTATTAGCTTGATGAAGACGATGTCCTTTCCATCGTTGAAAAGTCATGTGATACAGATGTTTTATACGGTGACTGGATATCTCGGCTGGATATAGTTGAAAAAGAAAATGACTTAAAAGTTGTAGAACACCCTCAGGAGGGTAAATGTGATCGAGAGTGTAAGACTATTTCTCGATCTTGTGAAGATATCATAGGTGATATTGACACAGATATTGGCGAGTTATTATGGAAAAATGAGATGAAATTGGCAACTTTTATTAATCATGTATGTTATAAACTTACTAACTCGTGTAAAGCTAAAAAAAAATATGTTAAAGGAAGTCACAAGGATTATAAGTTTGTTGAAATGAGTGAAAAAGAAAAACAAGCCAGGGATTTAATGAGAAATATGAAGTAAAGCTTTTGATTTTTGTTTTAGTTTAACTGTTTCTTAACTTTTATATATATATACATATAAGTTTATTCTCTCTCTCTCTCTCTCTCTCTCTCTCTATATATATATATATATATATATATATATATATATATATATATATATATATATATATATATATATATATATATATATATATATATCTGTGTTTGATTTTCATAATTTTATAGAAGTGTTCCTGGTATGCCTGGAATGGAAATGTATAGTCAAGACGATTTGCAGAATATGAGAGAGCAAATGGGCGTGAGAAATGAAGATGAGAATCAACAAGACAGCGAGCAAAGTGAAAATTATGATGAAGTTTACCGTACTAAGTTAGGATTTTTTGAAACTTTAAAATTTTTTTTAAATGACTTGTGGAAAAAAATAAAGTATTTGTTTAGTTATATATCTTATAAAAAAGAACTTTGATTTACAAATAATTGTCTTCTTTTGTTCAAACTTTCATTTTAAGACTTAACTATGCTTAATAGAATTTTTTGTATTGATTTGTTTTATTTGTCTACGGTGTATCGTTTTGCAACCTTTTAAATAAATTGCGAGTGGTTTTTTGGTTGTTGCATTCGTGTTGCAAATTGTACAAATAAAAATACAATTGAAGTATAATAAATTTTAAATTGATAGAAAAAAATCTGTAGCATATATTAAAACATCTAAAAAACACATATTGAAATAAAAACTAAAATAATGCATATAAATATATAAAAAAAGCTAAATTTAATATAATTTTATAGAAAACAAAATTTTTCTTGACATTAATCAGTTTTTTTATTTTCTCAACAACTTGGTTTTGTTTTTCTATGTTTTAAACTTTAATCCAAACAATAGTAAATCTTTAGTAAAAACTTTAAAAGATGATCATCTGTATCACTATTATTTTAAAATAAAACTACACCTTTTCAAGATGTAATTGAGAAAACAAAAATTGTAATTAAGAATCGTAAGATGTAATTGAGAAAACAAAAGTTGTAATTAAGAAACATAAGATGTAATTTAGAAAACGAAAATTGTAGTTAAGAATCGTAACATGTAATTGAGAAAATGTAAGTTGTAATTAAGAAATAGAAAGATGTAATTGAGAACACGAAAATTTAGATATCGCTTTAAAGGAGTAAGTGTAAAATGGCGCTTAAAAAAATGGAGCGTATAAAATGACGCACTTAAAAATGACGCAAGATTTGTAGTGTAAATTTAATTTTTAGGGAAAAATTTATAATTTTTGGGCAAATGAATTTAACATAATAAACACTAAAAACATTTTAGGGAAAAATTTATAATTCAATTAAAAATTAAAATTAAAAATTATATAATTAAAAATCACTTCATTGATCATTTAAGCACCAACTTGTACGTCTTCCATATTTAAAATAGTTGCATAGTGCGTGGTTGTGTGTTGTACCGCACGTGCACAATCTCCTCCCATTATAGTATTTTTCGCCTCAATTACAATTCGTTCTAAGTACTGCATGCGCTGTTCCGCAATCCCGTCACCTAATACAGGTGGAATGCAAATTGCATTTTTAACGTTACTTTTAATTTTGGACCAGATCGTTTCCACCGGGTTCAACATTGGACTGTAAGGTCCCAAACGTAACAACTGAGCTGGTGAATTATCAAACACCCTTTGCAAATGAGCGTGACAAGGAGCATTATCTGTTACGACGACCAAATCCTCCAAACGATTCCTGGATGTAACCCACTGGTGAAACATAGCCAACATCCACTCGTTACAGGAATCTGCTTAAATGATCCCCTCCGAGTTTCTATCATGACGACATTTGTAGTTAAAATAGCTGCGATCAAGTGTATGTTTAAACCTTTTGAAGCAGGTACTTTCATAATTGCTCTTTTTCCTTGTCTCGCGCGTCCTTGCGTTTTTCTACAAAAAAAAGGTTAAAATTTGTTTCATCCAACCAAACTATCTATATATATATATATATATATATATATATATATATATATATATATATATATATATATATATATATACTTTTTATATATTTAATTACTTAAGAATCGTGTTAATATTGATACAGATATTGAATGAAATAGTTTAAAACTGAGTATATGATATACTATATATACTAAGTTCAACCTACCTGGTTCAAGTATAATACTTGATAATATCAAGTATTATACTTGATATACTATTATCAATGAGACTTGATCTGGCTTAGAGGTATTTGATATACTATTATCAATGATATACTATATTAAGAACCATGTTCTGATTATTTGAAAGTTTTAGACATCGCAGAATCTCATGCAGAACCACTTTTTTCAAAAGGAAAACCTTTTAATGATACAGAGTTTATCCTGATAAATTACTAGAATTCAATATCTTTAATTGACAACTTTTGGATTGTGTTATTCAAAATAATTGGACCAGTACATTAGTTAATGAACTTCTTGAAATATTACAAAATCAAGGTTTAAAACTTCACGAAGATGCAAGAAAAATTTTTGAAAACACCAAGAGAGGTATAACTAAGATATACCTAGAGGTGTTTTTAAAACTTTCTCTGCATCTTCAAGATAAACAGTTCTTAAATGTTCCTAAAAAGTGTGGTAATAATTACTCTTGTTTTGAAATGCAGGGAAGTATTAAGACCATATTTTTTTTGAATTTTATAATTAATAGTTTACCTTTATTTAAATTCTCAAGTAAATATTTATGGCCAATATCAGCTTGCTTTGATTATTTTAATATTTTTATAATTGGCATTTATTGTAGTGATACCAAGCCTTATTCAATAACTAAATACTTATTTTTTTCTTTGAGTCAAGTCAATAATGCAAAATGGTTTTCTATACAATAAAAAATATAAATAAAAACTATATAAAATTTTATAATTGTTACAACTTTTGTGAAAAGTGTTCCGTTTATGAAACTTATGAAGGAATAATTGTGTTTAATAAAGAAATTTACAATTTACACACCTCATATAAATCAACTGTTACAACTGGTTTAGTTTTTTAAATTAAACTCATTTGAATCTTTTCCACAAAAAAAAAATCACACAAAAGGCATTTGTTGTACCAGACATTTCAAAATCTGCTTTAAATAATCCTTTGAAGATAGATGTAATTAATTTGGCTATTTTATTTTTTGTTCTTTAAAAATTCCAAATAAATAATTATAATTAAAATCAAAATTTATATTTATTATTTGATAAAATTTAATTTTTTAGTATCTTATCCAACTTCAAATTAGAATGAGAAAAATGTATTTAAAGATGGAAAAGAGTTGATATTTTTTACTATATGAATGAACTTTTGATTATTTATGGTTTTTAGTTTTAACATTTAGTAAAAATATATATATATAACACAGCAAACATTTAAAGAGGAATTTCAGTGGGCCTATATAGGCATTGTAGGTGGTTGCAGTTTTGGTTATCATATACTTAATGGACCATTATTGGCAGCAATCAAAAGTAGATAACAGGAGTAACCATTTGTTGGTTACTCCTGTTATCTACTTTTGATTGCTGCTAGAATGTTATCGGCTGATCACTTGTTGGTATGTTATCGGCTGGATACTTATTTACAAGAAAACAATGAGTTAAACTCCATTTAATTGCTCAGAATGCCTTTATAGGTCCACTAAAAATCCACTACAACAATGTTTGCTGATAAAGTTTCAATATGTAGTCATTTGATTATTGTCGTATATATTCAGGGTTCCCAATCCTCTTAAAAACCTTAAATATCCTTGGAAAAAATAACATCGTTAAAAGTCTTTGAATAATCTTTAGAAAAGTTAAAATTTGACTGTTCTCCTTAATTTACTTTTCTATAAATTTTTGTTTTAATAGTTAAAAATTTATTTATAAACGTATATATATATATGTTTTGGTTATAAAAACTTCTATTATGTATGTAACTATATATGTGTTGGTCAAAGGAGTTGTAAAGTATATAGTATATATATATATATATATATATATATATATATATATATATATATATATATATATATATATATATATATATATATATATATATATATATATATATATATATATATATATATATATATATATATATAGTATATATATATATAGTATATATAAGTATGGTATAGTGTAAATAGTTTATTTTATGTAATACGCTTAATGAATTTTTATAAGTAACGAACTCTTTAATTCATTCAGATCCTTCGAATTGGATAGTCTGTGATTCAAAATTATGCTTTGATAAAGTCAATGATAAATCTTTAAGTTTTACGAAGATTAATTTAAGTATTATTTTTTTCTCGTAATAATTATCTTAAAAGTTATTTTAATTATTTAGGTTTTTTTTCTTTATAAGCTTATTTGTTAAATACTCTACAATACTCAAAATAGCTACCGCTAATATAAAGTTCTTGTCAGTTCAGCAAGAAAAAAAGATCACCTAAAATTTCTCTTTCGAAGGACAAGGTTAATAAAATTTGAAGTTGCAAAATTTAAAAAAATGTTGCAAAAAAAGTGGTATATTTTTTATTATGGTTTAATGTTTAGTTTTCTTTATAAGGGTAAATTACTATCATAAATTACATAACAAATTTTGATTTGTAAATATACATGCACAATATTATCGAATTGATCAAAACACTAATGAATTATCTATGCCCAATATAACTTACACTAAATTGCCCCATATCACTTATAGTAGTGTTATCTTTTGAATTTAGAAGTAGAAGTTATTAAATGTTGGTGATATGTGTTTGTGTGTGTGTATTAATTAAAAATATATATATATTTATTTATACATATTTATTTATATATATGTATATTATGTCATAAAGTGTATTATAAATGTTCTCTTTATTCCTTTCTCCTTTATTTTTGCATACTTATCTTTACAATTTTTTTTAGGTTTAAGACTGTTTACCTGATTCCTACAGCAAAAAAGAACTTTAAAATGCTATTGGCAATAATCTAAAGCCCACCTGATCTAAAAGAAAGGGAATGACGTCAAGTGTTTGAACAGTCGATTCTTGGAAATTAACAAGTGGGTGAAGAAGTTTAAAAAATTATAATTTATAAAACTTAGCAAAATTATAGTAATAAAAAGACTACGCATATTTTTATTTTTTACTTATTCTCAAAAAGTTAAGTGAAAACATAAGTTTTAAGTTACGTTTGACGTCTGAAAAATACATCTTTATTCCGTTCTAAAAAGACGTCCTAATTACGTTCTAAAAAGACGTTATCTGGCGTTGCCAATAAGAACTTGTTCTGGACGTCCTAAAAAGACGTCTTTTCAACGTCATAAGGACGTTGCCGTGTCCACTGGGATGCAGCAAAATTTTGATAAACTTAAAGAATTTTTAAATATTTTAAGTTACACGTTCGACGTCATATCTCTTTCAGAGACTTGGCATGATACAGAAAGTACTCTTGAATTAAATTCTAATTATACTTTACCATTATACAAACTAATTAGTCAACCACGAGGTGGTGGGGAAAAAAAGGAGGATTAGGAATTTATGTCTTGGAAAAGTATGCTTTCAAGATAAAAAACATACTGATTGTCATTCAAAAATCATAGATATAAATAAACGAAATTTAAAAATGAGTAACACTAATAAATTACCAAATAGACTAAAACAAGAAACATGGAACAACGTATATAAACGTCAAGATACGAATGGAGCTTACAATGCGTTTTTAAGTCGTATTTTGGAGTACTTCAATGAAACGAGTCCACAAGAGATTATAAGAATTAAGTCAAAAGCAATTGCTAATCCGTGGATGGATAAATCGTTATTAAAGTGCTCAAAAAAAAGCAAAAATTTTACAATAAATTTCTGAAAAATAAAAACAATGAAAATGAAAAAAAAATACAAAAATTATAAATATTTTTACCAAGATCTCATTAAGAATGCAAAAAAAAAAAAGATCACAGTAATCAAATTAACAAATGCAAATTTGATTACAAAAAACATGGTCCATCATCAATGTCATAATGGGAAGAGAAAAACTAAATTCAGCTTCTCTACCTAATCGAATTGTTATTGAAAACAACGATATATTTAGTCAAAAACAAATTTTGGAAGAATTCAATAAATATTTCACAAGTATTGGTCCAAATCTTGTAAATAAAATAGTACTAACATCTATATCATTTAAAACCTTCCTTAAACCAACAAATAATGTTATCATGCTTGATTATGAATTAACCTATAAGGAGTCTGAGGCAGCTTTTTCCTCGTTAAAAAAAAAAAAGGCTCCAGGATTTGATGAGATATCTAGTAATATAGTTATTGCAAACAAACACAGTCTTAAAAGACCTCTAATACATATACTAAAGCTTTCGTTAAATTCTGGGATATTTCCGGATGTACTTAAATTAGCAAAAGTAACTCCATTGCACAAATGTAATGATCATTCTGACATTACAAACTACAGGCCTATATCAGTACTTTCTCTATTTTCAAAACTATTCGAACGTGTAGTTTATAATAGAATCTATGATTACTTCATTAAAAACATTTTTTTTTACCCAAATCAGTTTGGTTTTCAAAAAAATCTCCCTACTGAGCATGCAATCATTGAAATAGTAAATCAAATAATTAATGATTTTGAAAATAATAAATTTACTTTAGGAGTATTTCTTGATTTATCAAAAGCATTTAATACAGTGGACCACTGCATTCTCTTAGATAAATTAAAACATTACAGAATATAATTAATAAAACTTACAAACAGAAAACAATATGTAAATAATACCCAATCTGGAGTGTTAAATGCCATATGCGGAGTTCCGCAAGGATCGATTCTTGGTCCACTACTTTTTTTAATATATATAAATGACTTCTGTAATGCATCCTTAAAACTTAATTCAGTCATGTTTGCAGATGACACGAATTTATTTCTTACCAACAACGATATCAAGAAATTATATGCGGACATGAATATTGAACTAAATAAAGTAAATAACTGGTTTAAGGCTAACAAACTCTCACTTAATGCCGAGAAAACAAACTATATACTTTTTCATAAAAAAACACAAGAAGAAAATCTTCCTCTCAAGTTGCCGAACCTATTTTTAAATGATAAATTAATTAAAAAGCAAACCAATATAAGACTCTTGGGAATCGTTGTTGATAAAAAATTATCCTGGCTTTCTCATATAATATATATCCAGTCAAAAATGACTAAAATCATAGGTTTAATGTATCGAGTTCGCTCGTACATCAATACAAATAGTCTTAAATTAATCTACTTTGGGCTAATTCACAGCCTCATCAGCTATGCAAACATTTCATGGGAAAGTACTCAAACAGCAAAGCTTAAGAAACTTTATAGTTTTCAGAAACATGCCTGTAGAATCATTTACTTTAAAAATAGGTGGGAACGCGCTAATCCCTTGATGAAAGATATGAAAATGATGAATGTATTTGAAATAAATATCTACCAGCATTTAATTTTCATGTATCGTTACAATCACAATATCTCTCCAATAAGATTTAATAATAAGTTTGAGTTAAATAAAAATAATAACTATAATCTTAGAGCGAATATGTTGAACACTTATAAACTGCCTAGGATAATAAATAAATATTCAGAATACAGCATTTTATTTCGAGGTCCAAAAGCATGAAATATTTTTCAAAAAGGGCTCAAAGGCACGGTGAGTTCGTTAAATTCATTCAAGTTTTTAACAAAAAAAGAAATCTTTAAAACCTGTGAAACATTTTTTGTTAATAATTCTTTCGATAAATTCTCTTAAATACGTTTTTGTTTTGTTTCTACTTTTGTTTGTTGCTTGACAAATATTATTAGCGGATTACGCATTTTGTTATGATATTTTATTGAAACTTTTATTTTGTATGTCATTACGATATTGTATGTCATATTACGATATTTTAATTAAATCTTGTTAAAGGGGTTCTATGAAAAGATTGCGATGACGTTCTGTCATCCTCATCTTCTTTGAGCCCCTATCTGTTTTACTTATTTTGTTAAATTTTATATTATGTAGTGGAATTTGTAAAATTCTTATGTTATGTAAACAGAGTTTACATAACATGTTATCTTATGTTATGTAAACATATTAAGCTGTTCTTTCATTTTATTTTAAAAAATGGCGGGAAACTGGGTTCGTTAAAAACTTAAACTTGCAAATTTTTATTCGATACCGGATGGCACGAAAAAATTTCCGCAATGCTGTAAAAAATGCTCAAAATAAAAACCTGTACAAAGTTATACATAAAAATCGAAACGTTAAAAAATACAAATTTAAAATATTTTCGAAATCTTTCAGAAATATAAAAAAGATGCAAATTTGAAATTGTATATCATAAATAGTAAAAAAGATAAAGACTCGATCACGAAAGAATTTGCCTACAGTTTTGAAAATCGATTAAACTCTAAAACAATCACATATACCTCTACAAATTTAAAAATTCCCCCTTGCACAAAATTCGACGAGGTAATAATATCGGATGAAAATATAAAAACGGTTATTTCTTGCCTTAAATTAAACAAATCCAAGGACGCCTTTGGAATATCAGCTGAACATTTAAAGAATGCGAGCTGTGAAGCACTAACAGAATGGCTCAGAATTTTTTTTTTAACTTTTCTATTATTCATGGACAGACCCCAAAATTGATGTCTACATCACTTATAATACCATTTTCTAAAGCGTATAAAAATCCTTAAATGATCCAAATAACTACCGTGGCATCAGCATCATTCCAATCTTCACGAAACTAACAGAATATCTTATCCTACTAATCTGTCCAGAAATAAAAGAAACTCATCCTCTTCAATTCGGTTTCACTAAATAGCTCAACCCTACACGCTGAATTTGTTATTAATGAAACAATTAAACACTACAACAACAACAACTCGCCTGTCTAACTCTGTTCCCTAGATGCTGAAAAAGCGTTTGACAGCTGCAACTGGGACATTCTGTTTACAATGATAAAAAACTCCCTCTGTATATTGTTAATACCATATCGTCATTATACTATAAAAGCAGTGCTTCTGTTTCTAATCTAGATTGCAAATCATATTCTTTCTATCTAACGCAAGGAGTGAGACAGGGATCTATTCTCTCGCCTCATTTGTATAACATTTATATTCAAAACCTACACAGTAAATAAAATACCCGTTATATTTTTAAAAAACATAACGGGAGTTTTCCTCGCACATAACGGGTAATTGCCGTTATGTTTAATACTTAACATGTATGAAAATAACATAACGGTGTTAGCGTTATGTTTAGTCATAGCAAAATTGCCTTAAACATAACGGTTACATAACGCTAATTTGCCGTTATGTGCGAAGAAAACTCCCGTTATATAACGGGTAATTACCCGTTATGTTGAAAACCTAACATAACGAGTAATTACCCGTTATGTTACCGTTATGAAAAATGAAAATTATCTTTTTAAAGAAACGCATCATTCTGCATGACTATTCGCACAAAGTACTTAACAAAAAAACATTTTTTTGTCAATAAAAGTTGTAATAAGAAAATAAAAATTATACAGTTTCATATCATAATATATTTATATTATACTATTTATAATAATCATGAAAATTATTTACAAAATAATTGAATAAATTATTTACAAAATAATTGAATAAATTATTTACAAAATAATTGAATAAATTATTTACAAAATAATTGAATAAATTATTTACAAAATAATTGAATAAATTATTTACAAAATAATTGAATAAATTATTTACAAAATAATTGAATAAATTATTTACAAAATAATTGAATAAATTATTTACAAAATAATTGAATAAATTATTTACAAAATAATTGAATAAATTATTTACAAAATAATTGAATAAAATAACTTATTAAAATTTATAAATTCAAAAGTAATTTACATTGCTTTGAAAAGATTGCAGAAGAAAAATGCATTTTTTAGATAATAAAGCCAATTGCAAAAAGTCTCAAATATCTTGCTAACATCCCAGAAGCCGCCCAAAACAAGAATATGTCAAATCTAGCAAATAGTAAACAACCATCAAAACAACCACTATATGTACTGATCAAGGGCTGAACATCCATTTCGACACCTCTTCAACTCCTTACATCATATTCTGTTTTATTAAAGATAACTTGTGGACCATATAAACTTTGGCATAAGTATTCATGTAGTGAATCACACTAAAATTTTATAAATAAAAAATAATTATCACAATCATAAAATAAAAAGTTATTATTAATACATTAAATGAAAAAAAAGAAAAAAGAATGTGAACCATTGCAATACAAAATATGCTTACCATTAGTTAAAATGTCAGCAATATTACAAGAAAGAACATTTTTTTTGCCCCAAGAAATTTGACAACAACAGCCTTTATTATTTTCAACTATTAACTATTGAAGAAATAAGTAAAGCAGTTATTATTAGTTTATACTACTTTAATTTTACAAATAGTATATTTAATATTTTTTAATACTTGCAATACAAAATTAATGTTAAAAACAGTAATAATAAACAGACAGGTCAGAAGGTAAGAGGTAAATACCATTATTACACAAGTGTCAAACAACATTATTAAACAACATTATTTGGCACAATTTAATTAGTTTAATAATACTACATTAATTTATATTATATTACTAGAAAAAATTTATTATAAAAATATCATATAATGTATTACAATAATCATACTATTATAGTATAAAGTTTGTATATCACAAGCATATAATAGGGTCATTCCATATAAAATGAGCCAAGCCTTCTCGGGTGACAATGTTTTATTTTCTTGAAATGTATACCTCCTGTAGGTTTTATGGACCAAAAATATTTTTTCAGAATTTCAACTTTATAACAAATAATTTTTTCTTTCAAAATAATTTCAAATATTAAAGACTTAAAGTCTATTTCAGAGAACTTATTGGTCAATTTACGGACCTAAAATTGGCACAATATACAGTGAATTAAAAATTTGAAATTTTTAGGTATGCATCTTCAATACAAGAAGTATAAATGCAGCATAAACAAATTTGGTGTTTTTTGTGGCGCTAAGATATCTGAACAAAATAGCATAATAAAACTCACAAATTCATTTTGAATTTGTTTTATAGCCAATATCTCTAAGAGATATTTCTTTGCATTGCTATGAAAAGACTGCAGAATTAAAATGAATTTTTTAGATAATAAACCTGATTGCCCAAATCCGCAAATATCTTGGAAACATCCCAGAAGCTGCCCAAAACAAGGATACGTTAAATCTAACAAATAAACAGCCATCAAAATGACATTATATATATTATAATTATATATATATATATATATATATATATATATATATATATATATATATATATAAATATATATATATATATATATATATATATAAATATATATATATATATATATATTTATATATATTATGCATATATATATATATATATATATATTATATATATACATATATATATTATACATATATATATATATATATATATATATATATATATATATATATATATATATATATATATATATATATATATATTACATATAACATATATGTATTACATATAATATATATTATATTACATATAATATATATTATATTACATATAATAATGTATTACATATAATATATGTACTTGAACATTTTTTCAAGTTTTTCTGTTTTAATATATTTTTCAATATTTATATATATGATATATATATCAAAACAGAAAAACTTGAAAAGATGTTCAAGACCGTGTATGTAGGAGAAATCCAACATACACGTCCAACCCATGCAAGCACGGAAACAAGGATATTGTTAATATATATTAATATATATATATATATATATATATATATATATATATATATATATATATATATATATATATATATATATATATATATATATATATATATATATATATATATATATATATATATATATATATATATATATATATATATATATATATATATATATATATATATATATATATATATATATATATATATATATATATATATATATATATATATATATATATATATATATATATATATATATATATATATATATATATATATTATATATATATATATATATATATTAACAATAGATGCCATGGCATTTATTGTGAGCAATCAAAACATACCAATCAGGTATGGGCTTCAGAACCAAATATACAATAAATATATATTAATTAACAACCAAAATGCTGTTTTATAGCTAAGTTACTTAGTAAGTGGTAAATACCGTATGTAAATAAAATAAGTAAACTGAAATAGTAGAGACATTATAAACAAAAAGCTCGAGTCTTCTGAGGCTGAAAATTCAACCTCTCTTAATTGAAAATTAACGCATGCGCATCTTATACGCTTTCTTTTAAGTTTTGGTTTTTTTTGGCTGAAAATTTATTTAAAACATTTCAGAAATAAATTCATTACACTGTAATGTAATTTCTGTAATTTACAGAGATTATTTCAAATAGTTTCGAAATAATCTCTAAAATGTTTCTACTGCCTGTGAAAACATTTTTTAGATAAAAAAGTTTCTCTTTTAAAAGTTTTTAAGCTTTCTTCAATCAATATTGTATTTCTTCGTCCCATTGTTGTGAAATGTCTTGAAGTCTCCAGTGGATGTAATTCTAACTTTTTTTCAATTGCACAAATTCTTGTTTTATAATAAAAATGCCAACCAGTGACAACAAGCTTGACTTGAGTCAAAGGGCAACATTTTTGGGTACAAAAAAATAATATTACATAAGCTACCGTAGCGGGGTGACTTTGATACGCGGGGTGACTTTGATAATTTCGTCTGTTAGTTACAAAAATAATGATTTGAATGTGAAATTGCACAATTAGAGACTATTTTTTTTTTTTTATTCTTGTACATAATTATATTCTGCTAATATTTTTGAAATTTTAATGATTGTGAAGTGATTCTAAATTGTGCAAATGTGTTAGGAATAACATGACTATAACAAAAAAATAACGATTTTTACACGTACCAAAAAATGCCAAAAAATCTTGTGATTTTAATTTTTTTGAAATTTTTTTTTTCTTAAAATCTATACTTAGATGTTCAAGTGGTATTTTCCAGTTATAATACCACTGGAATATATCACTCGTTTTTGGTTACTCTCAATCACATTTGCAGAAAAATCAGTGTAAATCAGGGTAAATCAGTACTTAATATTTATATGCAAATAATTTTTTTTTTTTTTTTAGTGTTATTTTATAACTGCTAATTACTATAACAATGTTATTGATATATTATTTTTCTGTGTTTAGCATATTAACATCAAATTTATTTTTATTTTTTCTTTGTCCATTCTGTAGATATATTCGATAACCAAACTTGTTGTCTAAATTTATAATTTTACCAGTAAATCTTATAAGTTTATTAATATGTTGTGTTCTAGTTTAGTAAAAGTCAAAAAGAAAGTATTAGCGACACTGTAAAGAGGGTTAAATCAATAAGCCATTAAGAAATAATAGACTATCAAAGTCACCCCAAACGACGGGGTGAGATTGATAAATATATATTAAGACAAAAAAAAATTTAAAATATTTAATGGAATTATATAAAGGAAAGGTATAATGTTATAACGGGAAAAAAAAATCAGAAAAAATTGTAATGAACCAGATTTATTTTGCAAAAATGCTCAAAATCCTAGCAAAGTCACCGCGTTCTACGGTATTGTATGTCTATGCTATGACCATTTATTAACACAAAATATAAACTGTCAACAGATTGATTTGACAGAAATAGAAAAGTTCAAAGTCAAGCCTTGACTTTGAATTTGTCTCTTTCTTGTAAAAATAAAATTAATTTGTAAAACTGGTTTTTCAGTTACAACCATGTTTTTAAAAACGTTCATTATCTTCATTACATAAAACAATCAATATGTTGACAGTTTATATCTTGTGTAAATCAATAGTCAGAGCAAACTCCAAAATGATTGCCTTTCCATATTAGCTTAATTACCTTAATGCAAAGTAAATTTTTGACATAAAAGTTAAAAATCTATTGATAACAGGTTGTGATTCTAGACTGTTTTCCAGAGTGTTTCTTATTATTAAATTAATTTTGTACAAGAAGTGCAGTTCACCCAAGGCTTTAAAAACTATGCTACAGGTCATTTATATATCAAAAGTGTATAAATAACAATGCTAGTCAGGGCCGGCGCGAGTAGGTGTTACGTGGGGGGATGCCATTACAACTTTTGCCAACTAAAAAAAAAAAAAAAAAAAAAATAAGGTCCTCGTTTTCCAAAATTTGCCGACTCCCATTACGACATTTGCCGACTGTCTAACCTATGTCAAAAAGGGGCCACATTTGCTGACTAACTAGTCTAAAAGGGTCCGATTTGCCGACTAAGGGTCCAGTTTGCCGACTAAAAATCATTGAGGGGGGGGGGGTGTCACACCCCCCTATCGCGCTCCCTTGATGCTAGTTTAAAGTTAATTTTAAGTTTAATTTCAAGATAATTATTATAAGTTAGTATTTAGTTAATAAGTTATAATTATTATAACTTTATTAAATAATTTATTTAATGATTTGGTTTAAAAATTAGTATCAAGTTAAAGCGTGTTAGATTTAACTTGTGTTAGGAGCCATTCAAGTAATACATAATTTTGCTTTTTTTCGATACATTCCCTATACCCCTCTTGCATATCATACATTTAGTTTTTAACTATTTTCTAGGCTGCAAAACTAGTAAATGGCAGGCAAATGGCAAAAAAGTTATATTTTTTTCACCCTCAGTGTGTTTGTATATATATATATATATATATATATATATATATATATATATATATATATATATATATATATATATATATATATATATATATATATATATATATATAATTATATATGTATATATGTTTATATATAAATTTTTTAGCTATTGTTTTTGAATTGAGAAAATAATTTAGTGCCACAGTTCAAAAATATGCGTTTTAGGTTTAAATTTATATGATCTCAAAAGTTTCAATGGATTTAGGTTGCTAATATCATATATTTTAAGGATCGAACTTTAAAAATAAAGATTTTTTATGTGTTCTCTATAAAAGCTGGACATCTGGCAACACTAGGTAATCTATGAAAAAAAAAAAATTCAAATCTTTTGCATTTTCGGTGCCATTTTTGGACTGTCTAAATAAAAATTGAATCACTGTTTCTAAATTCGCAACCAATTCTTTCACACTTCATCTGCAACTGCTCTAACTTTATCAGTGCAAAAACTTTATCAGTTTTTTTAATGTTTTTATGATATATAACTTAAATTTTTATGATTATAAATTATCACACTTGAATTTCTTTCCATTTTTTTATTTGAAGTTCTAGACTTTCAAAGTTCAAGAAATCTTTCAGACAACTGATGTTACTACTCATCATCACTTACTATGCTTCTTTACTCATAAATTGTTAATTTTCTTTTTCTGAAAATTTTGTTTATCTAAATGAGTTGATAAAAAGTCATTGCTAAATGAAACCAACTAGTTAAATTGAACAAGTGTAAAAATTGTAATATGCATCCTATTACTGTAACTAATGCTTCGACTTTAATTATCCTTAAAGAACCATTCAAAGTTATGTAGCAAAGTAGAAGAACAATTAACCATCTTGTAATACTGGATACTAGTTACAAAATTAATAAGTTTTAATTGCTTATCAAGTGTGCTAAATCCATTGAAACTTCCGGGGTAATATCATTTTATACCAGAAACACATATTTTTGAACTCTGGTGTGTTGGCTAAAGTTTTAGTTCCAAAAAAAAAAGGTGTTGCTTATAGATTCTTAAAAGTCTGTACATCTAAAAAATGAATTTTATATAAAATATTGACTTAAAATATACATAAATGTATATATTTTCTGAATCTAGAATAATTGTCAAATAAGATTAAAAAAATAAAAAGCAAAGTTTTGATTTTTCGTGTTTCTTATCCTATGAGCCACTTATAAGGTTATTGTTATGGCTTTTTTTATTATTATGATTTTTATTGTTAATTTTTTTCTTATAAAGTTTTGAATACTTTATATTATTTTTAAAATATTTTACGTTTAAGACTGTTTAGTCGATTACTACACCAAAAAAGACTGTCAAATTGTGATTGCAAATACACTAAAGCATGCACCTTGATAAAAAGAGGGCAAATGATGTCATTTTTTCAAAGAGTCGTTTCTTTAAAATGATGTCATTTGTTCGAAGAGTCGTTTCTTTAAAATGATGTCATTTGTTCGAAGAGTCGTTTCTTTAAAATGATGTCATTTGTTCGAAGAGTCGTTTCTTTAAAATGATGTCATTTGTTCGAAGAGTCGTTTCTTTAAAATGATGTCATTTGTTCGAAGAGTCGTTTCTTTAAAATGATGTCATTTGTTCGAAGAGTCGTTTCTTTAAAATGATGTCATTTGTTCGAAGAGTCGTTTCTTTAAAATGATGTCATTTGTTCGAAGTTTCTTTAAAATGAACAAGAGGAGGAACAAAAAGTTTAATTTATAAAAATTCTTTCAAAATTATCAAAAATATATATTTTAAAACGTTTATTTGATTTGATTTTTTTTGTTGTTGCTGGTATTTTTAAGAAATACTGTGGGGTAAAAATTTAAGCATAAGGAAATAAAATAAAGTAAAAATTTAAGCATAAGGAATAAAAGTTATCAAACAACTAAAGACTTGGGTGCAAAAACGATTTAACTTTATTTTCGCAAATTATTCAGGAGAAAGAAAAAAACTGAATAATTTTATATGTAGGAAATACGTATTTTTCTACCAAATCATGTGTTTAATGACACAAAAATTGCTTTAATCTATGTCATTTTTATACTAACTGATAGAGCTTCTTTTATATACAAATAATCCATTAAAGTTGATAGAAACTAGATTTTTTTTTTTTACACCCATGTTTTCAATTAGGGATCGTCCATAAATAACACTAAATTTATTCAAAAAGGAGATCTCTAGCTCTATTACAAGGCGATTTTTTGATTTTTTATTTAACTTAAGGCTTTGCAAGCGAAAACTTTTTACCTTTTTTGTTATGTTTATTAGTGAAATTTAGCGTCGCGTAATTTATGGACAATCCCTTACTTTTTTAATTCGTCTGAAAACACGACTTATGGACGTCTCAAAAATATCTTTTTAATGACGTCCTAAAAAGACATCGATTCCATTTGCTATTTAGTATAATTTTGAACGTCACAAAATGGCTTCATTACGACGTTAAAGATGTTTTGATAACGTCAAATAAAAGGCGTCTCAATAACTTACTAAGGGTTATCTAAAAACACGCCAAGACGTGATTTTAGTACGTTATTTGAACGTCTATAAGAACTAATTTTTGTAATTTATTAATTTTAAAGCAGCCGTGGAGCAGTAGTTAGAGTTCTGACCCAATCCAAAGGATTTGCATATTCATGCTATCATTGCAAAAAAGAAATGATAGTTCTTTTTATGACAAAAATAAATGGATATCCATTATTACCTTAACTATCTAATCGCAGGCATAGAGAAAAAGTTTTCATTACTTTTATTTATAGTATTAATTGCATCTTTTAAACAAATGGTTTAAAAGATGCAATTAATACTTTTTTAAAAAAGATTTTTACTCATTTTAAAAAACTTTAGTTAGACCGGTCGACACTTTTTTCTAGTGAGCAAATCCTGGTCTCGTTTTATTTGTAAAACCCAGACCAAATTTTAAAAATAGGCAGTCTTTTGTCTGAGTAACTAAATGTGAACCTAATTGAGTAGTGATCGACCGAAATTCTGTTTCAACCGAAATTTTAATTTGAACCGATACCGAAGTTTCGGTTTTGTTACTTTTTATAAATTCGGTAAAAAAGCAAAATTTCAGTTTAAATTCATACTGAAAACTGAAAATCGGAACGTTGAAAAACGTCCTATCGACCTCATCTAAGTTATTCTAGCTATTCTTTCACACGTGTACAAAAGTTGAAATCTAGGAGCTGTTCCAAAAAAAATTTTGATTCAAAACTTTACATTTTGTTTTCTTTCTTCTTTTTTTTCAAGTCGTTAAACCCAATTTGGGTCGTTTTTTTTCAAGTCGTTAAACCCAATTTGGGTCGACAATTTGTTTAACGACTTGAAAAAAAAGTCGTTAACCCAATTTGGGTTTAACGACTTTTTTTTCAAGTCGTTAAACAAATTGTCGTTAAACAAATTGTCGTTTAACAAATAGTCGTTAAACAAATTGGGTTTAATGAATTTTTTCAAAATTCATTAAACCCAATTTGTTTAAAATTTGACAAGATATTTAAAAACAATATTATTAGGTTTCTCGCAAAAAAAGTTCATTGAAACGTGTTCTAGGAATCCCAGCTAGCACACCACGTTGGGTTAACGTAGTATACTTGCAAAACAACGGTTCCGATGTTTGACCCAACGTATTGTGCTAGTTGGGATGATACGCATGTTAACTCAATCTACTATACTGTTAGACTTTTCCTGCAAATAATCTCTTTTGATAGTAACAAAGACAATGACGATTATGTACATAGAATAAACAAAATATTTATATAAAATTCTCAAAGAAATAAACTCTAATAAAATTTACCTATAGACGGCAGTAATTTATGTATTAAAAACTATTTATTACTAACGTGGTTTAAAAACTGCATAGCAGTATACAGAACATCAAATAAATAAAATAATAAAGATAATTACTAATCAATCTGTAATAAAAATAATTAAATATTTAAGCTAAGTAATACAAATGCATATGTAAAACTACTTTAGTTAGTTCATCAAAAAAATAATTTATAACATATTTCTTAACAAGAGCGAACAATTTTGTTAAATATAAATAAGTTTTTTACAACTCAATCATCAGCATTGAAAACTGTTGAACTAAATAGCCAATCATATTATAACCTTTTGATTTAAGACGAATCTTTCTCCAAAATTGAAGATTGAAACTTTCACATTAACATGTCAACAATCCATAAACCATTTTGCAAAATAATTTTTGGATTATTGGCATGTATTAAATAACAATAACACATATAAAGCAGAACTGTTTTTAAAAAATCATTTATGTATCAATTGAGAAGATAGAAGCCACGCAATACTAAGTAATATCCTTATGTTTTGAAGTCTTCCAGTAATATCCTTGTGTTTTGAAGTCTTCTAAATAACAAAAATAACCACAAAACAACATAAGAAAAAATTCTAAAAAAATTAAATAATCTATAAGATTTAAGATTCTATTATATATATAAGATTTTAAATATAAGATTTTTAGAAAAAATTCTAAAAAAATATCTAAAAATATTTTAAATTCTTTCTTTTTTTCAATTTAATGGGTATTAAACCTAGCATTATTTTTTTATTCCAAAACTAAAAAAAAAAATTTATATAAGCCTTTGCTAGGGAAAGCCCAATAAACAATATGCAATTGAAGATACATTGAAGACATTTTCCTATAAAGAATACAACAACAGGTAAAAGATTACTACGCCTGTCCAACAACATCTCCAGTTTGGAGATGTTGTTGGACAGGCGTAGATGTTGTTGGACATCATCAACTGGAGATGTTGTTGGACATCATCTATACACTTTTGTCCAAGATAATCTGTATTTTTTTTTACTCTAACAACATCTGTGCAATATCATCTCAAAATTCAACGATCCTGTATAACATCTTTAGGAACATGTAACTTTTCTCCAATAACATCTGGAAGAATTTTCTCCAGATGTAGTTACATCTGAAAAATTCCACCTGGTTAAAATAATGCATTATGAGTTAATATTTTTTCCAGATGTAATTTCATCCGAAAAAAATCCTATATGTAACTACATCTGGTTAAAATAATGCATTATTGGTTATTTTTTTTTTCCAGAAGTAATTACATCTAAAAAACAATTCCATATATAAATACATCAGTTTTTGTTGCTATTAATTTTTGTTGTGCAATATTTTTTTAAAAAGTAACACTTTCAAAGTTTAAGTCACAAATGGGATATGTAAACAAATAATTAAGGGCATTTTTAAATTAAAATAGCTGCGCACGTTATATATTTTTAACTGTTTAACAAATACCATGGTGAAAAAGATCATTAAAATTTGTAAATTAAAAAAAAAAAGAATGAGTTAACAGGCTTTGTCGGGAAGCGGGAGCGATCGCTCTCGATTGCTGACCACGTAAATAATATTTAGTTGCGAAAAGCTGGCCAGATTTTTTAGTCGTTTTGAGAACATTTTAAAAGGCAAAAAAAAAAAAAAAAAAAGCGACAAAGAAAAATTAGACCGATGAGAGACAATTACAAAAAAAAAAAAAAAGTAGGCAAATAAAATATCTTTAAACGCGAAAAAACTTTAAGCTAAATAATTTACATTTAAAACAAATATTTTCGAAACATCGCTTTTTTATAATTTTTTTTTATAAAATTAAGCGATGTTTTTTGTAACAACTTATGATTGTTTAAAAGGGAAACAAATATTCTTTATTTAACTAAGTTTGCACGATTTAGTTTTACTTAAGCTAAATTATTTTATAAATAAAAAAGTTAATTTTTTTAATACCTATTTTATGTTTCGCGTAGTTAGAAAAGTTTAACATATTTAAAGCGATTCTTCTTAGTAAGATAAACAAATGAAATAATTAAATCATTGAATTACTATAGGAATTAAATTATCAAGATAGAAATCAACTAAAAAGGTTAAAAGTACTTAATGACAAGGAAGCAAAACTGCTTCACAATATCGCTGATGATGTTTAGTGAGTGGGCTTTTTAATTTTAATTAGTATTTAAAGCAGAAAAAAGTATAACGAGTTTTAAGAATGGCAACTTAAGCGAAAATAATTAGAGTTAATAAACCAATATCTAGAAACTTTTCTTTATATCTAATTATTTGCTATTATATATTTGTGTTCTGTCGTGACCTCAGGCGCGATGCTTGTTCATCCGCGAGTTACTTTGTATGCGTTGTTTGTGTTTAGTAACCAGAAACTTCTTATACGTTTGTTACATAATTAGTTTTATTAACTTTAACGATTATAACTTTGAAAATGCAATTATGTTTGTAAGTCTTTGTTTAAATCATAAAAATTGCTTCAAAAGATCAAAAGACATTACGATAAAAAACAGATACACAAAATTACATTTACATAAAGAATACAATCTCTTTTAAAATAAAAAAATAAGAATATACAAATAAAATCTATGATTTATAATAAACCTTTAAAATGTTGACAATTTAATTAATATATATTTAAAACATTTATTTTCGTAAACAAATAATATGTATTCTTAAAACAATGCTAGAAATCTCAAAACGTAACAAATCGTGAATAAAACAATTTCTAAAACATTTTAACAGAATCCACTAGAACTTTATTTCGCTTAATCAGCGTTTTTTTTGAACCAATAGAATTAGTTTGTTTGTTAATTTGGCGGGTTTTTAGTGTTCGCAAATATTCTTTTTATTCTTTCGCACAAAGATGTTTTGAGAACATTCAAGTTTTTTATGTTTCCATGTATGTCCGTAAAACAAAAATTCTTTGTTTCGTACATAAACTTAAATGTTCTCAAAACAACTAACCTGGCCAGTTTTACGCAACTTAATATAATTTCCGTGGTCAGTATTCGAGAGCGATCGCTCCCGCTTCCCGACCAAGCCTAAGTTAATATAGCTTTGATGAGGTAATTAAAGTTTTAGTTTTAGTTTTTATCCTATACGCCCCAATGTCTTGAAATATTTGAAAAACACTTTTAGTGTAAATGCTGCTTTTCGTATAAAGAAATATAAAACATAACATGAATAAGATATGGTTACAAGTGTTTAGAAATAATGAGTGAGCTTGGACTGTTGTTTATGAGTCTCTTGAGTGTCTCTTTTTAAAAACCAACAATAATTGGCCATCATAGTTTCATTCCATTTGCCTTGATAACTCTTCTCCATGGTCCAAATCTCCTGATATAAGCTTTTACCATGTTTGTCTGAAACTGCACCTAAATTTTCTGGGAAAAAGTCAAGATGAGAATATAAGAAATGTAGCTTTAACGACATTCGACAACCCAATTCTTGATAATGCTTCACAAGACTTTCTACCAGATTCTTGAAACCATCTGCCCTGTTGTTTTCCAGGAAGTTATGAACCACAGCTTTCAATGACTGCCAAGCATATCATTCAGCTGGTGTAAAAGTATCCTCAAATTTCCTATCTTTCAGGAGCTCTTTTATTTGAGACCCATCAAACACACCTTTAATCTTTGCCTCAGAAATGTTTCGAGAGAACTTTATTTGGACTTAAAGCCAGCACATTTTTATTCATTGCTTTTATGAAACATTTTACCAAACCCAATTTGATATGCAAAGGAGGAAGCACAATTTTCAGCCATTCAACAAGTGGAATGTGTTTAACGTTGTGGTATCCTAGGCTATATATTCTGTATGTTTGGGCCATATATTCTTCACATAATGATTTTTAGTGTCGGCTATCCCAGAGGCAGAGGAAACACATATACTTAGTGAAATTCAATTGCAGTTCAAGCAACAGGGCAATTACTTTAAGGCCACTACAAATAATCCACTTGTGATTGGCATAGTTAACACAATCAATACAGTTTTCATTATGCCGTAAGTTTCCTGGAGTCCCACTGCATGAGCTATTGGAATGAAAGGATATTCCAATATGAATTAATACTGCCTTTAGAGAGTACTTTGAGGAGTCGATAAAGAGACACCATTGATTAGAGGAATAGACACATCCAAGTTCAGTTAATAATCCTTTAATATTTGTACAAAAGGTGATCTATTTTGTTTGATGAAATACTTTGAGTATCTTTCATCTCTGTTTTGGTAAATGGTCACTCTGGTGTCAGGTGTTAACAAATGTCACTCTTGTAGTCGAGAACCCAGAACCTCAGCATTTGATTTTGATAGATGTAAGTCTCTGATTAGATTGTTCAGCTCCTACTGGTTAATAAAATGTGGAGCTGATTCCATTTCAGGCATAAAGCCATCATCATCATTTTCTTTGTTTGATTTGTCTGATCTGGAGAGGGCAAGGGGTTGAATACACTTGGTGGAGTTGGAATAGACAGACTGTCACTGTGAGGTACTTGCAACTTTGCTGATTCACAAATTGGATACGTTATTTTATCCTTTGTCTTTCGAGAATGTCCCTCAATTTTTGTCCCTCAATATCCAAAATAGAAGTCGTAAGCATTTTGATTTCATTTTTCTCTTCTTTACACTTGTGATCATTATGTCTTAGTGACATAATGATCACAAGTGTAACAGAAAGTGTTTGAACTATTTATACAATATCGTCTGCAGATTTAAGACATCCTGCAATAAAATACAAATGGTATCTATTTTTTTATTTTATTTTTTTACTGTAAATTGAATAAAAACATAAACTTACACTTTTACGTTTAAAATTGAAAGTATGCAAAAACTATAACTTCAAACTGATTTAAGATGAAAAATAAAAATTTAAAATTTCAGAAAAATCTGGATGTGTAGGATTAAAATGGATTCTAATTTCTTAATTAGCTCAAAAATCTGATCTAGAAAAACCTAATGCTGTTGATTGAATCTAAAAAAGTTTTATTTTGTTACCCAGTGATATTGACAAAATTAATAATAAAATAAAAAAAAATTAAAATAAGAACAAAAAGAAAAACTTTATAATAGTATTTAACTTTTAAATTAATAATTGCCTTTCTCAATCCTTAAATCAATTAGTCAACTTTCCATCTCGCTTCCCAGACAACCTGAATCATTTACCTTCTCTACTCGACTTATGTCTTGTTTCTGATCCTAGTCAGTGCTGATCCTAGTTTCTCCACATTCACTCTTAGGTGCCTCTGATCACAGTTTGATCTCTTTAAAACTATTATCTCATTCTTCTTTATCATCAGAATCTCTCTATCATTATACATTTTACAACTACCTTAAAGCTAACTGGGACTCTTTCCAAGATTTTCTTTGTGTGGTCCTTTTTCTGATACTGTTCTTAAGTGCTCTAAAAACTTTTATTCATCTAGTTTTTTTCCTCGAACATCAGTTCTTTGGAATTTTCTTCCTTCATCTTGCTTTCCTGATTCATATAACTTGCAATCTTTTAAGTCGTCTGTCAATTATTATCTTGCTCTACAATCTTTATTTGTTCTCTTCCAGTAACTTCCAACACTAATTAGTGGTTGGCTGCAGCCTTGTTGGAAGCTGTTTAAAAAAAGAAATTAACAAAAGACTTTATAAAACAACAAGTAAATGATATAAATCAAAATTAAGGAGATTTCAAAAGTTGAAATCTCCTTAATTCCTTTGATTATTTTAGTTAATTCAACAACAATAACATAATGTGGTCTTAAAAAACTCATTATGGTAACACTTTATAAACTTTTCATATGACTTTATTGGTCAACTGAAAAAATAAACACATGTGTTTGATTTTATATAAATGTAGTTTGATTTTATATAAATGTAGTATATACTGCTCAGCCTCAAGTATAGACGACAGCTTTAGGGAACACTTCTGTAAAAATATAACAGATATGTTGTGCGGACTACAAGCTGTAGAAAAGTCTGTATAAGTCAGGCAATGGACTGACCTGTTTGTCAGCTCTATCAGGTAGACTAATGGAATTAAGAGATGATTTAGATGAGAAGTTCTTAGTAAACAATTTAGCTTTGTCTTTAGGTGAGTTGAAAAAATCAGAACCATACAAAACAGATTTGCCCTTATTATAGATACTGTTAAAGATTGTCCAGAAGTAACGAGAGCCTAATTTTAAAGACATACAAGAATTCGTGACCTGAGAATAAGTACTTTTATGAGACTTCTTAATTAAGTCTGAAAGTTTTTTTAACAATATACAGGAATTAAACACACACACAAAAAAAAATGTTCCAAATTATACAAAAAAAAAAAAAAAAAAAAAAAAACTGGTTTGTACAATACATAACAAACCTGTTTTTGATAAACCAACTTCTTCCATGTCCAAACTGCTTTAGGATTGTGGAAAATACTATGGAAAAGTCTCTGGATTTTTTATTTAAAGTTTTTTTACGAAACCTCTTAGTATCAGGCTGGCAAGAAATTTATTGTTTCCTTTTGACAATTCAAACTGCTTCATCAGTAATTGTTAGCGATTGCTCTCGCTTCCCGACCAAGCCTGCATATCTGGAGCAGATCTTCCAATGATGCCCTTTCTCTTTTAGACAAGGTGCAAAAAATGTAGTTGGCCTTGCTCTTGCAGCCAACCTCCAACCATTATCACATTGTTGTAATGTTGCTTCTCTTTCTCTTTACTATAAATACTATAATGGGCACTGCTCTAAAGAGCTAGTGTCTCTCATGCCATTTACTAAAATTCATTCTTGTGTTACTTGTCATTCAATTAATCATTATCTTTTTACTTTGACTGTTCCTAAGTGCTCCAAAAAATCTTATTAGTCTAGTTTTTTTCCTCAAAAATCAGTCCTTTGGAATTCACTTTCTACATCTTCTTTTTCTGATTCATATAACTTTGAATCTTTTAAGTTGCTGTTAATCATTATTTTCCTCTACAAATTTCATTTTTTCTCTTCCAACAACTTTGCTTGTGTTGCTTGCACCCTTGTTGTTTGAATATGTTGAAAAAAGTAATAATAATTGCTTAATGAGAAAAAAACCATGAAACAGAATGGTTTTTGAATAGTTTCAGACTACCACTCTCTTCATTGTATCTTTTTTCATAATATTCTTGTGCAGAAAAAAAGTAAAATTGACGGGAAGGTACTTAAAAAAGCTTGCTGTGCACTCAATGTACTTAAGGAAGGAACTATAAAATATGTAATTTTTAGAAGCGATAAATAATCAAAAATTAAAAATTTTCATCTTACCAGGCTTCAAACAAAATATTTCAAATTTTACAATAAATCTTATTAAAATAGCTCCTCTTAAAATATATTCATGTAAAATTAATACCTTATTTTTATAAGGTTCTCCAACAACCTTAATTATTTTAAATATATAAGGTTGTAGGAGATGTTATTTAAAACCTTCCTAATTGTTTGTTTCGCTTATCAAGGAAAATTTTTTAACTTAAATGCCTGTGTTTGTATTTAATGTTTCAAATGTTCCTGTTTGCACCTTATATTAAAATATATAAAATATTATATTAAAAGTGAGGGACATATTAAAAAGTTATTTATTATGAAAAATATTTTGGATTTCCTGATTTTTTTCCTACTATTTAGTGTGAATAATTTGTTAACAAATCCAATTTTAAATAGTTTATTTGAAATATCTCACTCATTGCAAACTGAAAATATTATTCTAATTCTATTATTTAATGAAAAAAGCATAAGATTTATAAGATTTTATATTAAAAATTGAGGTATCAAAAAGAAATCAAAGTTTAGAACTTTTTATAACAATGTTATGAAAAGTTATTATGAAAAAGTTTATGAAAATTAGTTTTCAGTTTTTTTTCTTTAATACTCTTCGTGTTTTTTCAAACAACAGCACTTTTTTATATCAAGTTAAAAAAATGAGCAATATTGCAAAGATTTAAATATAATCTTTTTTTAAATTTTTTTTTTAAAATCGAGTAGCATCCTACCCTGCCAAACTGAAAGTTGTCTACAAGTAGAATTGTTTTAGACATAAAAAGTTTATATAAACAATGCGTATTAAATGTACTTTTTTACCTTATAAAAACTAACCTTGAAGGAAAATTTTCAGTAAACATAAAAACACAAACAAACATTATGTACATATACTCTATTTTTACAAATCAGAATCAGACAAATAATGCAGCTATATTATTTGTCTGACTGATTTACTTAAATTAAAAAAAATATATATATGTATATGAATGTATTAAATTTCAATTGGATCAAAAAAACCTATCAAACTTTTGGTAAAACTTACCTAAGAGTTGCTTCAACCCCTCAACTAAACAATAACATTCTTTTATTCAAAATAAAAAGTAAACTGTAATATATAAAAACAGAGTAAAAGTATAAACCATTCCAAAAGATATAATTAGAAAAAACCAATATTGGGACTATCATTTTGATTGTTTTTTTTTAAAAACCATTTTTAGCAAGATCTTCCTCATCTGTTATTGTTTTTATATATCTGTTTTCAAGGCGACTTTATTTGGAAAAGATTTTTATGGTATCTAAATTTAAACAAGATTAGAATATTCAAATAACCACATTTTCAACTTCAAAAATGACTACATTAACACATATTAATAGCACATTATCTGACAAAAAGTTTGATAGAACTTTCTCCATTACATTATTTGTGAATAGTTAAGCATTTATTGCAGGGCTGTGGAGTTGGAGTTAAAGTTGTGACATTTTTAGCACAGAGTCAGAGTTGTTAAACAAAATCACGACTCCGACTCCAATAGTAAAACTTTCCGGTATTACATGTGCATGTGCAAAACATTCAATTAACTTTATGTTTATACTAAACCTCAAAGAACATTTCATAAACTCGTCAAAAAAGAAATTTTTAACTTATCAAGTAATATTTTTTTAAGAATTCAAAGAATTTTTCAAAAATTTTGCTTTGGAGTTAGAGTTGTGCTAAAAAAAATTTCAATAACTGGAGTCGGAGTCATTACTTTTTTTTTATGACTCCACACCCCTGATTTATTGAAATACTGGTCTCCAAAGGAATATAGTAAAATTTAAAAATCTCTTTTATCTCAATTCTTTTATAATTTAGTCAAATTGCCAAAGATGCTTTTCATTTATTACATAGACAACAATCAATTAAATGTGTTTGAATACAACAACATATAATAATAAACAATTGCAAAATAAAACTGTTTAATACTTTTTTTTTTTGGTATATTACTATGAACTGCATTTAGTAAAAGATTATCTAGAAAAAATTTCTAAATAATCTTTGCTCAATAGAAGTGGATTCTGTAACAGTATGGCTTTGTTACAGAATGCACTGATTGTGGAAAATAATTTCATAGTAATTGCTTTGTAATTGATAAAGCTGTTTAGAAAAACATTGCTTTTATCATAAATAAGTATTTAATGGATTGTTAAAACAAATATATTTGGCCATATAGTTATTAATAATAAAAAGTAATAGTAACAAAATAATAAAATAAAAAGTAATAATAGTAACTATATTAATGATTGAAATATTAATAATATTAATAACAAAATATAACTATACAGTATAAATTTTTTGGTAAATATCATAATGATAGAAAAAATCAATATTAGTAATGTAAGAGCTATATTAATATAGATAATAGCAGATTTAGCAGATAAAATTTTTATCTGCTAAATCTGCTATTATCTATATTATTATTTTATTTTTATTAAAAATATAAACTCTTATAATGATAGTACAAGTAATAAATTAAATAAAAATAAT